GATAATAATTTAGAATTAATCACAAGAAAGACTGCAACTTTACTAGTATTAGCTACTGGCCAAAGGGTTCAAACGATCTCACTAATTGATATAAATAATATAGTTATTAAAGATGATTGTATAACAATAAAAATAGATAAATTAGTTAAGACCTCGGCACCTAATAGGTGCCAACCTTTTCTTACATTACCTTTTTTTAACAATAGAGCTGCAATTTGTCCAGCTAGGGCATTAATTAATTATTTAAAAGTTACTAAAGATATAAGAACATCAAATGTCTTGTTCACATCTTTCAGAAAACCTTTCAAGAGTGTTTCTACCAGCACAATCAGCCGTTGGATTAAAAAATGTATGGAAGAAAGTGGAATAGACATCACAACATTCACGACACATAGTGTTCGACATGCTTCAACTTCTGCAGCATATAAGAAAGGGGTTAATATTGATGAGATAAGACGAACGGCTGGTTGGTCTGGGGACTCTATGGTTTTTGGTAAATTTTATAATAGACCTATAATTAATAACTTGGAGTTTGCAGAAACTGTATTTAGAATAGATACATAATAATAAGATTATAATTCTTGAAGTCTGTTAAAGTAAATTGATCAGGTGCAATAAGGATATTGAAATAAAAGAATATTTAATTTCAATTGTTTATTTTTTCTTTTAATTTTACAACTTATGCTTCAAACATCTACATTAGTAAACTTTCATCATCGAGGACGAGACAACAACGAACATAATTATTAGTCAAACGAACTTACCTGTACGTGAAGTTCGACTGTAATTATGTGAAGTTGTTGTCTCGTCCGAAGATGATGAGTCCCTCCCTACCCAATAATTACAATAAGTTAAAACATTTGTACTAACCCTATGTTGTAAAATTAATTCTTTGAACTTGAATGAGGAATTTGGGATATAGATGGCAGCACGGTGACTAGTGGTGTCGTTCCGTTTTTTCTTTTATTTTTTGCTTTTAGCTTTAAAATTGTGTGACGCCTGAGAATACAAGCCGGGACTACATTAGTAAACTTTCATCATCTTCGGACGAGACAACAACTTCACATAATTACAGTCGAACTTCACGTACAGGTAAGTTCGTTTGACTAATAATTTTATAAAATAACTAGTTGTTCCCGAGACTTTCCCCGCGTAAATTATAGCCTGTGTCACCCTTGTATGATGTAGCTACTCGCAGGTACAAGAATTTTCAAGTAGCTTCGGAGCCTATTCGATGTAAACAAACAAACAATCAAATCCTTCCTGTTTATAACAATAGCATAGTAGATGAATGACATGACCCTACTACCGAGTGATAATGATAAATGCTACGAACGAATTTCAGTTCTTTTTTTTTAATGAAACAAAAGAGTTTATGTGTTATTATCATCTGCTGCCCATTTCACAATACCAAAATTAAATCGTGTTTAGGGTTCTGTCTGTCTGTGCTAAAAACCAGATTAAAATAAATTTTAAGGGGCTCACGTACAACCAACATTATTATTAGGACTCCATACCCAAAGGGTAAAACGGGAAACCTATTACTAAGACTTCGCTGTCTGTATGTCTGTCACTAGATGTCTTTATCCCATGAACCGTGGAAGTTTGACAGTTGAAATTTTCACAGATGATGTATTTCTGTTGCCGCTTCAACAACAAATATGAAAAACTAGAATAAAATAAACATTTAAAGGGGCTCTCATATAACAAACGTGATTATTTTTGTTTTCGGTACGGAATAGGTTTAAGTCTTAAGCGCACAAACCCACATATCGTACTATAGGATGTGTGGCAAATACTTACTCATTAGTGATTAAATCTATTCTATTGGTAATGTTTATTTATTTATCATGTTAATTTTATAATAGAACGAACGAAAGAGACTGGATCCTACAACCCAGGGAATTCTAGTGTGGGAAACAGTGTTCAATTTATGATTGCAAATTCCATCTTTGGTGTTTAATAAACCTTATAACCTTAAATAAGAACTCGCAATTGTTACTGTTTATTATGAAATGTGGGCCAAAAATTTTCATTTCGTTTCAGGAGCGGAGCGTGAATTTGTGGGGCCCTGGGCTAATACTACTCAGGGGCCTATTAATTATTGAAGCAAATGTCATTTTGTTTATAAAATGTTTTCCAAATGTAAAAGTACCCTATCGTATAGTGTTTTTATGGGAGGGTTGAGGGCCCTTTGTATCCACGGGGCCCTGGGCTTGAGCCTGTCAAGCCCTTAGGTAGATCCGTCCCTGGTACGTTTGCAAGACAGAGTGTTATTTAGTGAAACAGAATGATATAAGTAATTTATATCGTCAACGGAATAAATGCTATGAAAATTGGAAAGAATTGTGATCTTTTTTCCATGGATTTTCTATAATGCTAATGTTAACTTCAAAAACGAAGAATACGCTATTTATTACACCACCCCACATCTAGGGCACCATGTCTTCTGTTTACACTGCACTAGAGGTCGTCTTACGAAAGAAGTCCAGCGGATCACAATATTTCCGCTTTTATTACAAAATAATAAGAGTTATGCCGCGGGAGTTCCCATTTGTGATTACACTGCACTATGTAGTGCAGTGTAATCACAAGTAGGGTAGTATATAGGGTATGCAATACAGAAGCCTACATTTAGTACACTACATCATGTAAGACCCCAGTTGTAGAATAGTGTATTCGCCGCTATAACTCTACAAATATTGATAAATAGGCTTAAGGTAAAATTTCACTATTAAAAGTTTTTTGCTAATTTTTATGGTAACGCTACTCGAGAGAACATGGTGAAGCAAGTTTCAAGCCCTTTATATTATTTACGTGCGTTGATACACTACAAAAATATTATATGTCTAATTTTGATGACATTTGTAACAAAATGCTTGAATAAAAAGATAAGAGTGAACTATAGATTCTGTGCATTATATTATGTAAGTAATTGAAGTTTACCGGTTTTCTTTTTGCAAATACATATGCTAAAATTGTGAATGTATTTACGAAAACCCGCCCTATTAACAAATTTGCCTAGGCAGGTTGGCTACTCCAATCTATGCATTGTGAAGGAAATCTATCTCGTCGCAACCAATAACAGGTTTTATTTACTGGTATGTGGCGTCACACGTAAACAGAAAGCTGTCATATCAAAACAGAATAGAATAGAATAGATCAACACCACGGATACAGAAATTTACATAAAAATATTAATATTACAGTGTAACAACTGGCGGTCTTATCGCTTAGAGCGATCTCTACCAAACAACCTTTTTATAAACGAACCCAGAGTAGATACAAAACAAAATTTTACTTCAATATCTCTTCTGTATTAATCTATTTATTTTATTTTAATACTATTTGTTTACTTCGTAAATATATAGTTGTTAAATAAGTTATGTCGCATTGATATATTTACCGACATGTGACGTCACAAATACACGTAATCAGCGCCATTACATAGAGCAGCGTTTTTTGCGCGGTTTTAGCTATTTAAACTTAAACAATTATTTTCATCGAAAATATTCGCCAGAAATGAGAATCTTCTCATGAAGTATATTGACAGTGTGTTTATTATGTATCAATCAACAATTTTTAAATAGTTTTCAGAAAAGCGTCACGAGCATACCCTATTTTAATACTGGCATCATTGTAACGTCATACAATACAGCCCAATCCAAACGTTTAACGTGTTGTTTTTGGTAAATACAAGTAGAAAGATAGAATTAGTAATTCAAAATTGTTTGGTTGAATGAATGTAATTAAATCGTGTAATGGTCTCCTACTTGAAGTTGGCAGTATTGTGGTGAAGCAAAGTGCCATTAAAGTTAAGAAGAAGAAGAAGAAATTTCATACATTTCACTCCATAGTATGGTGATTCTTTCCGAAAAGAACCGATTCTTGTACCGATCTTTTATATATCGTTACATAATAAAATTAAGATTTCTTCTGTTCTGAGGAACTATTAAAAAAAAACGAAAGCACTAAAAAAGCACCTCCACCAGATAGCGACTCTAGCAAAAGTTGATTTTTGCAGGAAACGAATGAACCAAAGACAGTCACTTCCGTTCCTTTTAACTAACATATAAAAAAACTGAAATTTGAAAAGTGCGAAACTTAGATATCAATACAAATACGAAAAAGTACAAATATAATATGAGTTGTTTACTGAGTTTTGAAAACTAATTTACTTTTAAAGAAAACCGGAAAGATTGTCATGGAGAAATCAAGAACGTACAGTAGCGACATCTAGTTTGATTTCGGGAACTAATTTTTTTTAATACTTCCTCATTAATAGAACAAATAAATATATAGGAAAGGAATAATTGTAACCCGATTAGGCTCGAGCAGCATCGATTGCAGCTTTAGCAAACGATATGCTTTAGAAATCAATTGACAAATTCTTGAAAGCACAAAAGTTCATAAGCTAGTGGTATGTCGTACGCGTTACTGAACCGATTTCTTTGAATGCATTTGCATGATGTTCACTTTCATGACACCAACCAAAAAAGAGGCAGTCATAACACCAGAATATCAGCGTTGATGTGGCGCTTTCGTGTCGCATCAACACCAGCTGAGGCAGAGTCCTGGTTGACCTCACTTTCTTTCTCTTTTATTCATTATGTACCTTATTATTTCTTTTGTAATAATGTATTAACAGTGTTCCTAATAATGTATTATTTTGTTTTTGTCTTTGTGAGGTCAATAAATGTTTCTTCTTCTTCTTCTTATGCAATGTCAATATATCCTTACAAACTATAAATTACAAACACAATTTTTAAAACTTCTTTTAGCTATTTAGGAACGGTGAAGGAAATTGCATAGACACATCCATCCATTTAAAAAATAATTAATTAGGCATTATTCAACTAAATGGAAATAGTTTTATAGAACAGAAAAATCTCCATTTTCTGGTGTCAATTATCGATTAAATTAGTCTACTCAGTGTTATATATCGATTATTCGGTTAATCGATCTCAGGTGTCATGCTTCGTGGCGAAACTTTCTGACAACTTTTTGTTTTCAAAGTTTAGTTGGGTTTCTTTTTTGAATTTACCCTTTAAATTACTTTAAACGAATGTGTTTAAATATGATCGAGACGAGAGTATAGTCGTAGATTTTTTACCTGTCTCTAGTTTGTAAAGTAAAATAAAATCTTGATAAAATGCGTTTATCCAAAACTATAGTGAAAGTTTTTGGAAGTTGTTGTTTAAGCACCTTTACAATGGAAATATTAATGTTCAAGACGCCAAATAGTGCGAATCTAATCACTTTCCTCCAATTCTTCTTTATTTCTTTACAGGGTTTTATATTTACTACTAAATGTGGATCAGTAAGTTTATAATTTATCCTGATATTAATTAATATAATAATGTTCATATGAATTCAGCATGGTTTCATTTTGATTGCTTTTCAGATCACACCGAAAATACCTCTTAAACAATATGCAATACTCACTGGTTTGTTTTTTATAACACATGTTTCCAACAACTATGTTTATGCATTGCATGTTCCTTCTACATTACACATGATAATACGGTAAATAAAACTATATTGAAAATTACATTTAATTTCCAACCCATTTCATTTTAATATTAAATTTATAATCAACTATATTTAATTGTCAATTGCTTTGATTATAGAAAAAATAATGGAAATTATTAAATAATGATTTCGTTAATTCATTTACCAGGTCTGCTTCTTCTCCAGTTGGCATGCTAGTCTACTGTATTATGAAGCAGCAATCACCTAAACTATCAAACGCTCTAGGTTCAATTCTTATAAGCATTGGCATTGGTCTTGCTATGTATGGTGGAACACCAACCGGTGAAAACAGAGGAAATTTGTTCTATTGGTGTATTGGTGTCTCTATTCTTTTAAGTACACTGGTCACAGGAGCTCTAACTGGACTTCAACAAGAAACATTATTTAGAAAATTTGGAAAACATCCAGATGAAGTATGTATCAGTCTTTTTATTTATCTCAGGTTCCTTCCCCCTTCCGTTGATATATCGCCATGCCCTATCATTAATGTGGGATCTGCATTTTGACGATTTTCGTTTTTTTTTTGTATAAAACCTCATAAAAGGGTGTAAGGAATAATATCACAAAAAAATAATTGTTGATTTTATTATAATTACGAAGATAATTATGTTATTAATGTCGGTAGTGTCGCTTGTGTACGTACAAAAATGAAGGTGCTCACTTACAGTCAATTTTGATCAGACATAACCGACGAGTGGATGCGTCAATCTTACGTCGATCTGCCAGTTACATACTTAATGTCGGGAAAAATGCACGTAGGTTCTTTAGAGCGCCAAATTGTTGTGAAACATTACATACACTCTGATTTCAAAAGATATAATGTCGGTCGCAAAGAAGCAGATCCTTAAGGATTTTAAGCCTTATTTTACCAAACAACGCAGTTGTTGAAAATGGTGCATGTAATGATACAGGTAATACTACAAAGTTATTAACTTCATGTAAAGACTTGCCACTCATATTATATTAATATAATAGATTTCAAATATATTATTTTGTATAGCAAATGATTTCCATTTTTTCTTTGGTATAAGAAACAACGTATCTAGGAAAATTAACAAAAATACGTTTTCCGATCAAAACCTTCATAGCTACCATATCGGACTTATTTGTACAGAATTTAATTTAGTCAGAAATGTTAAATGTGCCACATCCGACATGTAGTACAGAATTTTATACAACAAAAAAGATTGGATCTACCACATCCTGCGTAAGATAGTAAAATATGTCCGTGTAAAATAGCTTCACGTGACATAACGTATATAAAGTAAAATAAATAATCTACTATATTTGTTTGATGTATCGTAGAATAAAAAACACACATGCCTAATTTCGTAATGCTAACCCTTAAAATATCGGTTTTATTCAACTTTTCATCTTTAAACCGCTCTCCTGTAATGTTGCGTATTTGTAGATACTACATTAATGATAGGGCGTGGCGATATCATCACAACCATGTGATAAAAATGCATGTACCACACATTGGATGGACGATTTATCTATTTGAATGATTGTAATAATCATTTTAGGAATGAAAGGGTCGTGTAAAACAAAACATGGCCAGGATATGGTTTCATAGATCTAAAAAAAATTATTCCAAAATGTATGTTCCTAAAATAACATCTCTTTTATTAGTTTTTTTATTGCATTATATAATATTGGCACCAATGTAGTGTTTTTGTTAAATTAGATTGATCAATTTTCAATTCCTTATTTGCAGATGATGTTTTACACACATGCAATTGGTTTACCATTCTTCATATCAATGTATCCACATCTTCAGAATACAGCCTTAAATCTTCCATGGGATATTTGGATTCTCATATCCTTGAATACTGTATTCCAATTTTATTGCACGCATTCTGTTCATGAGCTGGCTACTAAAGAGACTTCTGTTACAGTTACATTTATACTAACTCTTAGAAAGTTTATCTCATTGTTGATATCTTCAATAATTTTCAAGAACAACTTGACTTTATTACATGTTATAGGTACTATATTTGTGACTGCTGGTACTTGTATATATTTTGAGTTTTTTTCTTATCATAAGCAGAGACCAGTTAATTATAAAAGTGATTATAAGAAGTTGTAGATGACTCATGAACAATCGATATTGAAGCAATTTTGAAATAAATGTATTTTTGATTGACAAAAAGAAGACACCATTTTCTTGTTTATTCATTGCAAAAATATCAGCTAACTCCTCGAACATTTTGAGATAGGGATGAATTTGGCTATTGATTTCTAGTTTGAAAGCTTTGTTGACTCTGCTCCAGAATGAACCTCACAGATATTTATAACTTTTATGGGTCTTCCTGTTAACAGTAAGGCTCTGGCTGACAAAAAGCTTTATTAAATGTGATACTAAATGAAAGAAGTTTTTATTATCATAATTTTTTTCTATATTTAGAAATGTCTTAACAATAAATCTTATTACAAAAAGTATGCAGATATTTGCTTTGTGAAACTGAAATTACACAATGTCTAGTTGTTATGACTCTATACAAAGCCTAATTATAGGTAAATAGAAATTACAATGTGTAAACAAATGTAATATGTATTCAATCTTTGTCCGATCAATAATATACTTTAAAATCTCATACTTCATTAAAAATCCCAAACATACACACATCCACATATTAAGTGTCACTATATTACAATTTTTAGTTTTCTCTTGTACTGTTCTTACTCTTGTTCTTATTTGTTCTAGTACCTGTAAATGTATGAATATGAATATTTAGTAAACATTAAGAAATCATAAAAAAAATATTGAATAGTACTCAACATGCAAGTCACATTATTTTTTATTATTTGTCTTTAAATACAATATTCAATGAGTAAATAGTAAAGGAGGAAATCAAACATTTCCTCAGTCTAGTACCTCATTACCTGCTCTTGCTGTCAGAGCGGCTTCTTCGGTCACGAGAACGAGATCGACGAACCGATGGAGAACGACGACGCACAGATGGCGACCGGCGAGGTGACAGCGATCGCCCACGCGAGTATGAGCGGCGCCTCGGGCTGCGACTGCGGGACCTACAAGTGTATACTTACATAAGTCCTAAATCCAATAACACGCCTATACAAAAACACTTCACTTCTCGATATTCTAAAAGTTCCTTTTCAGAATCTCAATTTTAGATTATAAAGTTGACTGATAAACAGTTTTTATCAAACCCGTTTGGAAATTTTAGTTTTTCTAATTACATTTTCAACTGTCTACGTTACTAGATTGTCCTAGATATACCTATAACGCCAACACAAATTTCACTAATCTAATAACAGGTAAGGTAAGGTAGTGCTAAGTATAGGATTCAAATAGTACCGAGCCTTGGTGAGCCTGCGGAGAAGGTCGTTGACCGTTGTGGGGCTGCTGAAGCCGGGGAATTTAAACTTGAATGGAGGTATTTTCAATATTATCTTCCGTTTGACGATGATATAAACGGGAGTTTTGAAAAAACTATGTGGTTACACGGGGAGTTGAGTTGACCGTTGTTAAGTAGTATTTCTAGCTCGGTGCCTTCGGTGACGACGAGTGTGTGCAGACGGTGAAGCATCAGAGTTGCAATGATATTCAGGGTGATCGAATTGTATTGGTGGCCCTCGGCAATAGTGCGGAATTGTCCAGTTAATATCAGGATATTAGGACTAGGTAATGGCAGTTAGGAGAATTGACGGGACGTAGTTGTTGGAGACTTCGGCTGCGCGTAGTAGTTTGGAGAGCCAATCGCAGAAGTTGAACGAGATGTTGTTGCGAGCGGCGTTCGCGGATGTCATATTGGTAAACGAGCCGTAGTTGTGGTGAAGAGATGTGGTGAGGTCGGTGTGTTGGTGGTTGGTTGATAAAATGGACCTGCAAACGTTCCAACACCCACCACTTTTAATAACTTCAAATCAATTACTTAAATCTACTTTTGTTCAGCACATTATGTATGTTATAATATCTATGAACACCTCATTGTAAAGTTTATGTATTATATTTAAAAGCCCATACTAAAATCAATATTTGTGAAAATGAATCATGTAATAAGAAAATTATTTCTCATATTATGGGCAATATGAGAAATAAGTTACCTGGAGTACCTGCGATCTCTACGTGTGCGGCCGTTGGACATCTCTACTCGAATACGGGTGCCACAGCAGCGCCTGAAAAGAAATAAAATAATTATCAAACCAATTGGTTTCAAACTCCAAATTGCTATTGTGAGAATGGAGACATTTGTTCCCCATGCTGAGACAAGTGACATCATAGAAAACAAAATCACATTTCAGTCTCAGTTTGGAGGTACTATGTTCTAGCACACTTATGACTCAAGCGTTTCACATTAATAATGAAACGGATCTAAGGAGTGTGCCAAAATAAAAGAATTAACACTCCGAACAGTTGTTATTTAGTAAATTTATACTACAATGATTATAAAATACTAAAGCTACCAGGTCTAAGAAATAATTGGAATGAATCTTAGGCCATTGGGATTGATGAATTTTTAAAGCTCTTACGATTTATTGATATTTATATATCAATAAATCGTTGTGAATTCAAAAATTGATAAAATAAAAAATTACTGATCACCAGAAACTGGCAGAATTTACAACTAATAGAGTATAGCTCAGCTAAGATCATTGATAAGTCATAATTTAAAGGCCAGCAATGCAAAAGGATAAAACAAATTTAATATAAAAGTGTAAAATTCATATAAAATAAGAATTATTTGACTAGCAGTGGTAATATACTGCGATTTAAACGAGTTAACACCCAGTATTAATTATAAGAAATGCAAATTTATTTTAAATAAACTAAAAAAATAACATTCAAAACATCTATGTGGTATTTTTATCGAACCAACAAAAGACACAAGACAAGCAAAATGGCGGCCTGCATTTGGGCCACATCGATACCACCTTACGAGTGATACCAATAATATAGATATTTCTTCTTTTACTTACGTTCCATCCAATCCTCTAACTGAATCTTCAGCATCGCGAGGATCTTCGAACTCGACGAACGCGAAGCCCGGCGGATTCCGTGCCACCCACACGTTTCGTATATTGCCGTACTTTGAAAAAATTTTCTCAATTTCATATTTCGAGGCGTTAGTGCCGAGATTTCCGACGTAAACCTTGCAGGAAAGATCCCATTCTCGATAACGCGACATCTATAAAACATGACAAAATAAATTATGAAAACGACGCCATACTCCAAATCTTACGACACGCCGTAACGAAGTCCCAAAATTAGTTAATACATTTGTGTTTTCTAGCTATGCACGCACCTTTAATACGATGAAATAATTTTAACTTATAGGCGCTCGTTGAACAAACGCAGGAACTTAGAAGTGGTTAGTTAAAAATTGAAAGAGACCACAACACAAAATAGCACACGACCACCGTGGAAAAAATTGCGATCAATGTGCGTGGCAGGCAGTGTTGTAGGGATGTAATGATACGAGATACGAGTAAATGCAAGTACTTACTCGATACTTATATTTCAATACCAAGTACTTTTAAAATAGATTGCTTAAAACCGAGTTACAATTAATTAATTAAATGAAATAACAAATGAAGGAAGTAAAGATAAATAAGTGTATTAACTATATTTTAGATTTATAAATTAAGTAAATAAATAAAATAATGAGAAAGAAAAAACATTAGTTCCCGAAATCAAACCACTTGCTTACTTTCTCCATGACAACCCTTCCGGTTTTCTTTCATGTATAAAAGTAAATTAATTTTCAAAACTTAATAAACAACTCATATTGTGTTTGTACTGTTTCGTTTTTGTATTAATACGTATATAAGGTTAGAACTTTGCAAATTTCAGTTTTTTAATATGTTATTTAAAAGGATCGGAAATTACTATCTTTGGTCCATTCGTTTCCTGCAAAAATAATTACCTAGACCAATAATGTTTATAAGTAAAAATGGCAATAGTTGCCCCTTAGTATTGCTATGCCCTTACTTATGCCTTATGTGTTACTTGTACAAAATTTATTTATAACATCTGTATGAACTGTGACTTGCATTGAATAAATCGAACAAGTAGTATCGTGAACAAAGTATTTGTTTCGGTACTTGGTCTGCCACTCACTGAGGAGTGTCAAAAATCACGCGTGCTTATGACTGTTTATTCTGTGGTAAGGTGTCTAAAGTCTGTCTCATAAAAAAATATCACAGGCGCGGTGTTCCTGTCATGAACAAGAAGCAACCCCCTACTAATGTTTTGCATATAGAGATTATCTAGAGAGGGCACTGACGACAAAAGTTAGTGCAATACTTAACTATATATACTGTTACAACTTAGGGTTCGGAATAAAAATTTACGCCAATTATAGTTCCCAATCCGACACTTTATTTAACACAATAAAATTACAAAAATAATAAAAGTACAAAATTCATACTTCAACTTCACTATTTCACGTCACTAATAACACTTCACAACGCTATTAGATCGTCCACCGCTCTAGTTATCACTTCAGACCGCTTTTGATTTCAGATCGTTTGTTTGCTGAAAAATCCGAGTCGGGTAGTCGTCCACCGCGTATTTATAGGGGCCACTACCATATCTAGAACATTCTAGGTTGGCCTAGCCTACCAGAGTATGCGAGATATTACACAAAATTGTGGAACAACCTCCCGTCCTTTTCTTCTCCAGTAATTGTTATATGACAGATTGTTTCAACAATGATAGCGCGATTCATTGGCGTATAACGCCATCTAGTAATGCGTAGACCGCTGTGCTCCGTAGCAATATTATATGCATGGTTTTTTATGTCTTGACCTGCTTCTCTTTCTTCCGTTAACAGAGTATTTCTATTGACTAGAAATAGTATCAAATCTGACCTAAAAATCTATAAAAATGACGACATTTTAAAACTATTCAATACGTAAGCATCAATACTTTTCCTTTGATATCGAATAAGTATCGATACTTCATACCGATAGGGTATCGAGTAAAAGTATCAATACCTAGGTGATATCGTAACAGTTTTGCCAACCCCAAGAAACTAGCAAAACGACAGCTCACCAATAAAAAAACAGGAGAAAACAGTAGGCAAAGTAAAATAAGGCATATTTCATATGTACTCATATAATAAAAACATACTTTTATTACTTTTTATTACTTAGACAATGTCTAAATATTTAGACCTTAGATTTAGGCGACTTCTAAGTGTAGTGAAAACTGTCGTAGCTGGCAAAAATTTTATATATAAATATTATCACAATTTTTTTGTTCAAAGTAAGTGTCACATTAATGAAGGCAAATAGTCTATTGTAAGCACACTAAACCACAAAAAAACATTAAAAAAATGATATTTTAAGACACCTCATGATTGAAAAGTACCACCTCTTGACCATAGATGGCGCTGTATCATTTTGAATCGCGCTATGATAGGTAGAATTCTCACAATGTAAGACCGCTTTCGGTGTATTCACATGTTATGGGACACTGCATTTGCTCTTTTATGCTCGGACATTTACGTGAAAAATGATAAACTTAGAGCTATAAAAGTAACGAATAAAACTGTACCCGTATGTATTCGTTGCTCTAAAAACATTACATTACTCGTTACTTTCGTATCGTTACGTTACTCGTTACTTCCAATACCTCATATTTATGTCAGAGCTACGAATCGAATTATACAGTATGATATCGCAACATTCGTTATTTGTAGTAACGTTACTTAAATAAGTACTGAAAAATGTTATAATTCAAAAGCACCAAATGGGAGTAGAAAATCATTTATTTATAATAAAATTAGACATTTTAGGGCAGGAATCTATAGTTCATATTTAAAAATAAAATCTTTTCCTTTAATATTTGGACCGATTTGGAAAAAATCCTTTCAAATGCTACCGAGGTAGTCATCACTGATAAATATTTCTCAGACATATTTGAAAGTTCGGGATATAAAAAATAATGTGTTCTTCTAGATATTGCCTCATGCAATAAATAGTTAAAACTCAAGTGTCTCAATCATAATAACCCTTAAAAGATAAGAATTAAAAATACGTAATAATAATAAATCAAAACATATACCTATTTCTATTCTGTTATTAATACTTTCTTACCTTGTTTCTGTACCAAAATCAAACTTTTATACACACAATAATTTTACTCAACAGTAAAATACTTGGACGAGTAATTTCCAAATTATTCTATAACAAACGTCGTTTTTTGTAACGTACATTTTAAACTCATCGAATAAGCGCGCGCAATGGGTGCATGCGTAATATCGGTAGGCAGATACCATCAACAAGCGTTTCAATACACGCATCAACGGCACTAGTACATAAACTGAAACAGTATTGGTACTTGGTACACATACGAAAAATGCGAGTAACGAAATGCATTCGTGAGTAACGTTTCGTTACTCGGTACTAGACGGCGCACCCGTTACTCGGTACCGAATACATACGATTTGCTACAGCTCTAGATAAACTAGATATCGTGTATAGTATTATTTACGAGTACGAGTTTCACCGTGGTACCAGTGCTGCGGAAACGGCTCGAAGGGTTAATAATATGTATGGCGGTTGTGTCGCAAAAGAAAACACTGCGTTTTTGGTTCCAACATTTTCGTTCTGGAAATTTCAACCTGCAGAATAAGCCCCGTGGATGGCCGGAGATCCAAGTTAATAATGAACAATTAAAGGAAGTAGAAGCGGATCCATCGCAAACCACATACGAGTTAGCTGCAGGCTGCGGTGTTAGTGATAAAACTATTTTAATCCACTTCAAGCAAATTGGAAAGATTAAAAAGCTTGTTAGGTGGGTACCTCACGAAATGAGTGGAGTAAACCGACAAACGCGCTTACATTACTTAACCGGCACAATAATAAAGGGTTTTTACACCAAATCATTACCCCTATGAAAAGTGGATTCTCTACGATAATCGGAAGCGCTCATCACATTGGTGGGACCCTGGCATGCCAGCCAAATCCTGCCCCAAGCGAAAATTTACCCCAAAAAGTTACTTGTAAGCGTTTGGTGGACTAGTGCCGGTGTGGTTCATTACAGTTTTCCCAAATCTGGCCAGACGATTACGGCAGACGTCTATTGTCAGCAATTGCAAGCCATGCTGGAAAACTAACTGTTAAACAACCGAGGCTAGTCAATCGCTCTACGCCACTGCTACTTCACGACAACGCTAGACCAAACACTGTACAACAGACGGCTACCAAATTAGAAGAACTACAATTGGAATGTCTAAGACATCCACCGTACCCCCCGGACCGTGCTCCGACAGATTACCATTTTTTTCGAAATATTCGACTTTTTGTTCCTCCAATACCAAACACCAATTTCATATGCAAGGACCTAATAATATGAAAAATGGAAAAAAAAGTAGTACATAATACAAAATAATTAATGTTATTGGCGTTCAGTATCTTAATCTTTATCAGCAACCATGTCGATCACATACGTTAACGCTAACAAACCAAGGTTACCTTGGTTAGAGAGCACTAGATAATAATCGTGTAAACATCTTTTTATAAAACAGTGTAACCAATTTCTAGAAAATAATGTAAAATTACCTATAAGGTCACTATGGTCGGACCTCTGGTTAGCAACCGATTGAACGAGTTACAACATAGAGGCCGTCCATTAATCACGTGAGGTTTTTTTTCAACATTTTAACCCCCGCTAGTGAGGTTTAAGACTAGGGGTAGATTTTTGTCGAACCTCCCCCCATTTCGAGCCTCACGTGATTAATGGACGGTCCCATACCCGGGTGACATTAGCTATAATTGGCTACTTGAAAGTTATAAATATGTTGGAAATAGTAATATATAACATAATATTATACAGTAATAATGTAGTATATTTTGTTTAAAACTGATTTTATAATTTATTTTTTCAAAATTTACTTGTAATTTGAATCTGTGGATTACAAAAACCGAACCGTGGGTGCCCATGACGGAGTATCGTGTGACGTCATATTTCAATAAACTAAACGTTATGGCTGACGACTTTGTTGCGAATGCAACCAGTACTCACGAAATATTAAAAAAATAAACGGTTCGAATTGTCACGTAACTGTTTGTTTTCGCGGGACAATTAAAATTAATGAATAAAAATAGGCTTTTCCTTTTTATAACACTTTTTGAAGAAATATAAATGTGTAGTAGTTTAACACAAAACAGTCAAGTGGCCAATTAACGTAGGCGAAGTCGTGGCGTAGTTAAATGAATGAGGAAAAATAAAGATATATATTTTTTGAAATAAGATATATATGATTTTGATATTAAAAACAATCTCGCATGTCGCCTACATGAGACATGTGAACTTCTGTGAACATTTGGTCCACTTCTACTTAAGGTGCACCCATAGAATTAATAAATACTACGTACAACAGTACTTATTAATTCTATGGATGCACCACCCGTTTTATAACATCTGCGACTCTGCTTTGCACTCGAAGCCATTTCTTTGTATTGCATCCATTATTGTCACTCTTACCAACTTTCTCTCTACTTCCTTCTGGGCCACTTCCAATTTATTAATTTCCTATACATAAAAACGAGTCCTGAACTATTCTCAAACTAGAAACTTAAAAATAATCTCCTTCTGGCAAATTACAAGTATCGAGTACTTAATCGAATAATGATACAAGCCAGTTTATTTATATACAGCGACAAGTACGTTAGTTGGATAAATAAGTCAAATTACTTTATTTGACTTTAAGTCTTATTATATTAGCAGTTGAATTTAAAATTACTTGTAAAATTTTGACATATTGTGCTGTGAGAAATAATTTTGCCGATTTGTAGTCATTATAGGTACGATAATTTTCGCTGCGGAATACGATAATGGTTCTCTCGTGGCTGTGAGCTGTGAACACTGGTACTGGTAGTTCTATCAGTGAGTGACATAGTACCTTCTTCTTAGTCTGTGTGAGTGACTGATATTGAATAATGTAGAATTTAGTCGAATCGAGCTTTGATAACAAAAATATCTACGAAAATATTTTACGAAGACTTAATATGGATGTGGTCGGTCTTTTGAATAATATTAATGAAAAAACTGATATGTTTGCGGTGAAAACATGGACTTCTGAGTGGTCAAACAGTTTTCAAGATAACCAGGTGCGTATTGATTTTATATACTGCGAAACTTTTCTAATTACTTTCAAAATAAAAAACCTCATATTGAAAAACATCATTGTAAATTTTGATTCTAAAATTTGAAGTATGTATTGGAATATTTTTAGATGGAAGCCTGTGAATAGTTTATAATAATAGAATCAATATCCTTGAATTCAATGCCCTATTCTTCATTATATTGCATTTACGATCTTTTGGGTAACAACTTAATGAAATAAGAGTAGATTTGACTGCCAAAATATGAAGAGGTATTAGGTAATTTAGAAGTCTACATATTTCATGGTTCTAAAAAGTTCAGCAATCATTGATTACTACAAATAAAAAAGACCTATTGTTTATGTACATGTAATAACATAATATATAAAGCAAGGTAATGCAAACAATTACACTAATAATGTATAATTTCTAATGTAATTAAAATAATAAAAGTTCACCGAAATATTTCAAATCCTTAAATCTTACTAAGTGTATTTCACACTTTGTAAGATAACAATGGTATTTTTTAAGTGACATTTATTTCAGAAGCACAATTTAATTATAATTTATATTTAAATAAATTTATTATGTTTATTAAGCATACACAACAGACATTAATCATAAATAATGACATAGATTTGTATAGATCTAAAGTTAGACTGACATCCTTAAATACAATGCACCGATTCAAACAAAAAGAAGTTAAATATTGTAAGTAATCATAATTTAATTCAATTATTAGAGAATGTCACAATAACTTAAAATAATAAACGAAGGCACACTAACAATAAAAAATAAGAAAATCTTGTAATTGCTATGTTTTTTTTTCTATTTTAATATTGACATGCTCCAGTGGATTCATGTCAAATGTAATTTTATTATAACAGAAAAGGACTAGAAAATGTCATAGTAAGATATTCCTTTTAACTATATGACATCATTATAAATATTTTCAATAAAACAGACATGACCTACCAGTGTGGATTGGTGGGTGTTAATGTCTTTTGATTCAGCCAATACAGCTTCTTAACACATCTTCTAAAGCATAGAGAAGCTTGAGTCAGTATAATTTTGGTCATTAACCTTTTGAAACTTCCTTAACTTCTACAGCGCACATCAAATACTCTACACCACTTACCACTTACTACTGTTACCACTACACCATAGAGTTCTTCATTCCAGATGATAGCAGCTCTTGTTATGAGATTGAAAAATAACAAATATGTACATACATAGTGTTTGCTAATTATGCAATTAGATCACATACCTTCTGTTACACTATAACATAGTATGAGATTCTGGGCCCACCTACAGTCAAACTGTTGATATAGTTTTTTGAAGCTTAGAATAAGTATTTCCTTTAAAAAAATGTAACCATTGATTTATCAAATTGGCATTCTAGATAATTAAAAACATTCGCAAAGTCTTTCATATTGTGCATAATAAACATATTTTTTATTGTCACTTTTTACGTTGTCATCGCCCTCTTGGTAGGTATTAATGCCCTGCAGTCAGGGCCGGCCTGTCTAGGCAAACTACACCCTAGTCAGTGCTCGTATTTGAGAGCATGACATGGGAAACAGATTATGTTTTCTCTAATTATTATAAAACTTAAAATGCAGTACTTTAAAACAATACTTTTGTTCATTGTTCAACAGAGTTCGCGGTATTCATAAGTACAAAAATTTCAAAACGGAGTTTCTTTATCAATGGCAAAATTACAATCTTTAGTTGGTGTATCTACATTAGTCCTTTAAATAAATACCTAATTACATTCTTCATTTAAATAGATAAAGTACCATCGTTTTGCCTTGGGCTAAGTTACAGTATTTTGCCTAGGGCGCCAAGTACAATTGCACCGACCTGCACGCGTAGCATGACAAACTCGAGAAACGCTTTGTCTACACCCAATTGTCATTTTCTCGTGTCGAGAGTGACAAATCTTATGGGTTCACCCGAGAAAAGTGAAATTTCTGTGTAGACAAAACGTTCTCGAGTATGTCATGCTACGCGTACTGGGATCTGATCATATTCATATTCGCATTAGTATATAGCTTCAAAGGAATAAAACTTTTATTACCTTCTGAAGTAGGTTTAATTTGATTGGAGCTTTACGTTCTGACAGAGTTGTGCTTAACTTCGAGTTTGGTGCTGATTTTGTTACAGTATAGCACTGCAACATAGACCGTAGCGTAGCTCTTATGCACATGTGAGACGTTATATTTTGCGCAATTTATTAGCGTTTGTTGTGTTGTGCCCAGTCTTTGCTTGCGACATGCGACAGAGTAAAAGCGACGACCGTAGTCTACGCAAGGACTCTTGACATTAGGCCATTTAGTTATTTTGTAAACTTGGTTCGGATATGATCGGTTGCTTCACTGCAATATCTGAATTTGAATCTTAATACTTTCGCTTAGGGTTAGGTTTATCGGTACTTATACAGTTTCTTTGTGTCTTTGTGTTTGTTTGAATAGTGATGTTTTTTAGTTGTTTATTGACCTTTTTTGTGATACATTGTGATTTGTGTGAAGTGTTTTCGATATGAAATCGGTATGTACATACATATAAGGCAGTAAGCTGTCATGCTATATAATTTTGTACCTATATATTAAATATTAAGTATAAATACGAAAATTGGATTATTTAAATAAATTCAACAAAGGAAACTATCTGGTTTTCCACGACTTCCTTGTAAATTGTGGCCTATGTAATGCGCTTCCAGTGGGTGAAGTAATTTTTAAGCACGATACGATATTTATGCAGTCTATTCAAAGTAAACAATCAAATTTTTCTTTTTTAAAAATATTACTAGCTTTCCGCCAGCGACTTCACTCGCTTGGTCCTGAATTATACATACAAACCTTCCTTTTGAATGATTGAAATCCGTTGTGTAGTGTTAAAGATCTCAGCGTGCAGACAGCGGGAAGCAAGTTTGCTATACTATTCTTATTGAAAGGATACCGTGCTAATTACCACTTTTACCATCAAAATCGGAAACCATGAATTCGAGACGATGAAGTCAATTATTTATGTTCACTCGACGGGGAATCGAACCCAGGAACTCGATATTAAGACGTAAAAATGAAATAGAAAAGGTTAAATATAAAATTAAAATTAATATTTTTTTAATAATAAAAAAATTTATATTCATTTTATTTCAATTGTAATTGAAGTAGTAACTTAGTAAGTTAAGGGTCGTAGTTGTGTCTTTGTTAAAGTCGTCATTAAGGAGTCGCATACACCAAAAATAACAATTTTTCATTATTAACAAGAAATAACATCCAAATATGCTGTAATAAATAATGAGACAAAACTGTATCATATTTGTAAGCGTTTGTGAAGGCGAAAACATCAATTAGCATTTTTATTATAAGAAAATTTGATAATAAACATGTCACATAACCCAGTGGCATTTACAATACTTCAACATTAATTGTAATGATTAATGAGTGATTAATTGAATATAGCAATTAGTGATCATCTGTCTCTTTCTATTACCGGGCGCAATGAGGTAGATAGAGTTAATATGTTCTTTCTACACCCAGCCTTAAAAAATACGCATATTGTATGTATGTATACTACATCCTTCAAATTGTGCCAAGTCCAATCTAGTTGAATAACACACTTTGCTGATAATTCCATCCGTCCGGTTATTATCAAACTGAAGATGGCGTTAATTGTCTGAATATGTAGGTACAGTCGACAGCATATCATGTTATTTTAAAAAGCCTTCCTGTAGTCTTTTGAACTTAACGGTCAATGGAATTAGAGGAACCGTCAATCTTTACTTTAGAAGTTTTTAAATACAATACAAATTAGCATTTCGCACTATTTAAGTACACGTAAAAAGGGGTTAAAAGTTTTTGCTTCATATATACGTAAGTTAATTACCTACTTCTTTCAACAATCTAATTAAGTAAACAAATAAAGGAAGGATTACATTATCTAACTAAATTCGGTTGTTAATTTTTCAATGACCGATTAAGATACGGATTAAGCAGATATCCAGATGGGTTTGTTGAACTTGAACGCTTCTTTTAATTACAAATAAGGTTGTAGTACGATGCTCACTACCCTATTCGCATTAATTTATAAGGTAGAATATTAAGTGCTAGAAATAACATAAAAAAAACAACTTTATGTTCTTTCTAGCACTTACATTTAGCAATAATAGCAAACACATTTTTTATGCAGTTAAGATGAAATAAATACACAAGTATTATTCGTATCATCGACTTAAAAAGTAAATTTATTTATGTAATTTTATTATTGAGACAATTTTTGCTTTTGTTTAAATAAAATTCTTGATCAAAATTATGTTGAATTATCATAAAATATTTTTGTACAAATATTAGCTTTAATGATAATTTTATAAATGTAAAAGATGTGTTTGAGTATAATTTATTTAATTACACCTATACCACAATATACTCATTTATGTTGGAATAAATGACTAAAATTTGTTTCTGGACCTCAGAGATGGTGACCTTGTAACCGGCGTGCGAACCACTAGGTCACGGACGTCGACATCTATTTAAATTTTAAGGAATACGTTATATTAAGAAATTAACATTTGGCAATAATTTACAACGCTGTAATTTTTTTTATTAGACGTGTTGCATTGCTAAATATTTTCCGCTTCAGAACTTGTTGGTTATATTAGACTAATTATTTTATTTGTAATTGCAGTTACTATGGTCTTTCTGCGGGTGCTTGCTGGTGTCACTCCTAGTAGTATTTTTCTATTATTACAGAAGATGGCGATCAAAAGGTAAATCAATAGGTGACTTTTAAGATTATTGCGTTGATATAGTATATATATATTTTATTTAATTGAGATCCTCACAATAAGTCCTTTTATTTGATATGTCCAGAATATTATTATATATAGTACAGTTTTATTAAGTTTCTAATTCATTTATATACCTTAAATTAATCTCAATGCAATCGGAACGATGCGGAATCCTAAAAAAGTTTATTTTGTTTTTGTTTCAGAAATGGCAGGGGGCTTAGCAACAGGCGCTGATAATGAACCCGCAAAAAGGTTTAGGAAAAGGGACAAAATGCTATTTTACGGCCGGAGAATGCTGCGAAAAGTCAAATCCATCTCTAATTCTGGCCAGGGCAGAAAGAGACGTGCGGTCATGCGTTTCGCCAGGAAATTGCTGCAATTGAAAAAGGAATCTGCGCCCGAGCAACTCAAGGTCAGTTTAATAAAAATTGTATTTTTTTTTCTTTTTTAAATGACGAACTGGCGTGTGGTAGGTTGGTTTTTAATCTAAATCTTTTTGCTATGTTTTTGATAAGCAAAAAACCTGTTTGCCAATTTATTTATAGGCTTGAACGTCAGGACGGCTTTGAAGACGGATGATTGATACGTGTCAGTATTTTTTAGCCAAGAACTTGTTCACTGGTGACAATAAACAAATATTGTTTCCGTCCAAGGTTTCAACGTAGCATTTAAGTTGAAGTATTAAATAATATCATCAGTTATTTCTCTGGTAATTTATGTTCTATTGATATTTACTTAAAAAAATATTAAAAGTTAAACAACCGACTGCAGACTTGTTTTTTGGGCTTCCGTACTCAAAGGGTTACCTTATTATTAAGACTTCGATGGCTGTCCGTCCATCCATCTGTCCGTCCGTCTATCCGTGATAGTTAGACCTTTAAAATTTTTCATTGATGAAGTATTTCTGTTGCCGCTATCACAACAAATATTAAAAAACAGAATAAAAATATTTAAGGGTGCTCCTATACAACAAACGCGTGTCTTTTTGCGTTTTACATAGATGATTGTACAGAACCTTTCGTGCACAAGTTCGACTCGCACGTGGCCGGCTTTTTTTTATTTTGATTTAATTTTTGGCAGTCACAACACTTAAAAATAACAATTAAAAATACATATAACAATCAACATTCAGGGAATTCTGCTTTTATTTTTTTTAACAAACACAGTTTCACCCTGAATCGCGGTTCGTTAAATATGTTGTTTATTTTACGAGATAGATGATTTTATCGTCAGTTTATTCTATGAACAATGCAATGATGTAAGAATATTAAATTATCTGCTTTGATAATCTAGTTATTCTATATTTTTTTTAATATTTATAAATAATCAGCTTCTGCCCTTGACTTAGTCTGAATGGATTTCGAAATTGTTATAAGTAGACAGGTTTTAAGGATTTCGCACCTCAAAAGGAATTAATGAACTGATTGAGTGTAATGTTAACCAAAAATTTTATTAGTGACCCAAAGGCGGCGTGCAACGTATAACAATGAACATGCTATCCGCCAGCTAGCTAGCTTTTGTAGTATCGAAGTTTCATACAAACTGAACCCAAAAACAACCCGTTAGGGGTCGGATTTTATAAAATCCCGTCCTGGTGAGCTTACGTCTCAAAATGAGACAAAACACACAAAATTTGAGTGTTTCTGTAGTTTCTGAGTTTTCGTGTCAAGTGAGTGACCTTTCGCATTTATAATATAGAGATATTAGTATATTGGCCTCATTTGTGAATTAGAAAATTAAAAGCTTTATTTTGTGACATACCAAATATTACATAATCGATCATTATCTGTCCTCGCTTTGCGAAACTAGTACTTAAAAAAAAGAAAACTTAAAAGTTATCTATGGTTTTTAAATACAGTATTAAACAAGCATAGATGCGCGAGTCCGATTCGCTCTTGGCTGGTTTAAACGAACTGAAACAATTGTGTTGTCTCATGTGTTTATGTTATGTTCTGACCACAGAACATAGAGAGAGAATAGAAGTATAATGATATTGATTTAGTATGGGAACCGAGTGTCGCCTCTCCGCACACAAATACAAATAAGATGAAATGATCATTTTGTTCACTACATGAAAAACCGCCACGCGATACGTTCGTGATAACATAAACAAAATCCCAAAAAGATACTAAGCTAAGAAATCACACGATTAAAAACAAACTCTAATTCAACGTGATAATAAATAATTTACTTTAACATGAATATTGAACTGTCACGTGCCTGTATACGGGGATACCAAAAGGGAAAAAATATTTTAAGATTATGCACATTTTAAAAAATTGGGGACATCATTTTATGTGCGAACTATTAAGATTAGATTTTACTGTAACCAAGTGAATATTGAAAAATAACGCTTTTCCCTATATAACTTCTTTTAAAAAACGCAGTACAAAAACTAAGAAAACTTAATGATAAACTCTATCATATGTCTGTGGAGTAATATAATTAAGCGAGGTAAAGTGTAAAAAAAAAACAAAAATAAAGAAACCAACAGAATTTTTGTATTAATTACATTAAGCCTAATTTGTAATTTTTTCTTACTGGTATCATTCCGATTGTGCATATTAGTGATGTGACATAATATTAGTTGATAAAATAAGAGGTTTAAATTTTGTTATGAAACAGTTAAATGCCATTCAGTTCGACAATGTTCTATACTGGTTTGATAGTAATTATTTAAAGCTTAATTCAAATAAAATGAAATACATAAAGTTTGCATTACCTAATGTGAGGCATATTAATACACTTATAAATGTAAATAGTGAAAAAGTTGAGTTGGTGAAATCGACAAAGTTCCTTGGTATTACACTGGATTCCCGACAGCAATGGGATCCTCATATTGATAATTTGTCAAGTAGACTGAGTTCTGCAGCATTTGCTGTTAAGAAAATTAGACTCTTGACAAATGTTGAAACGGCAGGATTGGTATATTTTAGTTATTTTCATAGTGTAATGACGTATAATCTATGTGCAAATATGCAGCAACAAAAAACTGATAAAAGCTGTTCTGTGAGCGGTTCTTTAAAGTGGCTATCTTAACTCGATTTCTATAATAATGGTTTCCGATTATGAATCAGCATAATAAAGTAAATTAAATTGACGCCTATAAATTAATTTTGTAAATTAAATTCACACCACCAAAAATATTACGTTAGTTGAAAACATGATTTTTTGTTTGTATAGATATGTTTTGAAATGCATTTGATAGGTCTAGGTCTAAAATGGATAGGACAAAATAAATTATGTAAACAGGGCAATCCGTTGTAAAGTTATTAGGGAAACTTAAATATAAGGATGAAAAATAAGTGAAATCCAGTTTCAGCAGTTTCTAATAAGACCTATTAGGCCAACACTCGTAGCTTTTCACGAAGTTTCGTTTGATTTATATATTGTTCATAAAACGTTGATATACTTCGTAACTTAGATATTTATAGCACATCAGTATTTTTTTAATATTCATCTGCGTGTAAATAATTTACCGAATCTTGGTAAAAAAAAGTGCCTGGATAGTTCATTATTTCATCTATTCAGTATCACTTCATCTTTTATTTTCTCTTTTAAACAGTAGTATTTATTTTTAAATAATGATGGCATATACTTATCCATAACGTTGTTATGAAATGATGAAAGAAAAGCTCTAAATAAATTTGTTTTAGTTATCGATTACGATCCATATAATTAACAATACGATTCCGAGCAGCAGCAGCTATCGGTACATTTCAGACAAATGGAGGCACAGCACTATTTTTTGCAAAAGTGCACAATATGATTTACATTGCTGTCTAGAAACGGGGTTAGAAACATTAATGTTGGTTTGAGCAAACAATGTATATTTTATTTGAAATTGTGTCAAATTATTACGTTTTTTATATTTTAGCACTAAAATTGTACTTACCAGTGAAGGAAATGTTTGCATTAGTTAGATTGTATACTTTGTTTTGCTTTTTGCAAGTGATAATAGCACAAAACGGTATTTTTTATAGAAAAAATCAGTAAAATCACCACTTGACGATTGACGAACGACTGACAAACATAAAACCGAGGAAAGGGCGTCATATGAGTAAAAGCGCATATGCCAGCGACGCTTGCCAGCCCACTTACTACTTCTATTCTCTCTCTATGTTCTGTGGTTCTGACTTAAGTCATAATCAGAATAAGCGAGTATCTTAAACACGACCGGCTCGGTTCCATTGTCTTGTATCTAAATCGTCACAGGATTGAGTATGCATGCATGCATGCATGCATTAAATACTTTATAAAATTAGAATTAGCTTCGATTAAATAGGTTTGCAAAAACTATATGTTACACACACACTAAACTATTCTAAAAGCAATTATATTTTACAGTAACTTTACTGTATATCTGATAAATAATGTTAATTACGTGGTCACTTTGTGGTCAAGAACTGATAAGCTGATACTGATAACGTTTTGCTTGTAGTTAATTAAAATAGATTTTTGCGTAAATAGATTTAGTATGCTATAACGTATGTATCTGTGTGTACCACTATATCAATTATAATGTATGATTATTTATTATATGAAAAGTTTCTCCTAGAATGAGAGTTCTGAAATACATGTAGACGAAGTTGCGGTCAAAGGCTGACATCCTGGAATGGGATGGGAGGCAAAAAATGAAATCCTCTATAATAATTACATTAAACAAACTACTCTTTGAATCGGAGATATCAAGATTAAAAATAATTTCATTGTAATTTTTAGTAAAATTATATTAATTTTTTTGATTGCAATAATATTTTAAAAAATTTTAGATATCAAGATTAAAAATAATTTCATTGTAATTTTTAGTAAAAGTACATTAATTTTTTTAATTGCAATAATATTTTAAAAAATTGTCGTAACACATTTTGTTAAGAAATTAACAATTATCAAATTGATATTCATACATACATAAATACGTAACCATTAGCAATTTCCGTCGTATTTATACTAAATAAATCAATCAATCAAAAAAATATAGATTTATGCATAATGAATGAAATCATAAATCTGGGGGCATGGAAGTGTTCCCGCCAAGTCATGCACAAAAATAAAAAGATCACTGCTGTACTATCCTTCTTTTACTTACAAGATGGATAATACGATATTACATTTTATTTCATCTATAGCATAGTCGCTGTGCAAATATATAGGTAAATATAGTAAACATTTTTAAGTTCACTTTACTATGACAAAACTGGCTAGAGGCATCTCTGCGAGCGAAACAGCAATATGTTTGCGTATGAGTGAAAGAGATATGTAGTGCAGGGTAATTGTATGAAATTCTTTTTGTTCGGTCACCGGGCTATAGTAGCAGGGGCAGAAGGGCCCATATATAAAGAGGATACAGCTAGCTAGACTGGTAATAATTTTGTACGTACACGTAATATCAGAAATTATTATTAATAAAAATATTATTCTTACTGTTAGAGTACCTTAATAAATAAATAAATATAGAAAAAGAGTAAAATTCTTTCGACTCTTTCTTGTTGTATACAAATACGGATTTTATTGCTATATTAAATCAATTTAATTAAGACTGAAACAGAACTTTGTTATAGGAAATTACGTCCGTTTCTGTATTGTCAGGTGCTGGAACCTCCAGCTGAATACTTGGAGGAGGATCTGACGAGTGATGACAGGGTGCCCCCGGATGCTCTGTACATGCTGCACAGCATTAGGGTGTTCGGCCACTTCGAGAAACCGGTCTTCTTGATGCTTTGCAAGCATACCGAGATACTGAACTTGCCTGCTGGCTCTTTTCTGTTCAAAGTCGGTGAGTTAATAAATACCCACATTTAGGTTTTAGTTCATACAAGTTTTTCGGCAGTCATCAGACTTAGACCTTCCTTATGGATGGTTAAGGAACATTGGCCATGACCCTCCTAGATGGACCAACGTCGATTGGATGATATAAACGACTGCAAATGCAGCCGAGACCAAGGGCTTTACGTACCTTCCGAGGCAAGGAGTAGCTCGAGATAATATTTTTTTGGGTCACCCATCCCGTGACCGACCCTGCAAAAGTTGTACAACACCGATCCCGGGTCGCGGCGTTTTTACACTACATCACCGAGCTACTCTTTACTCTTCGGCTATATACATATACATATAAAAAGGCAACAAACTTTGATGGAAGGTGCGTCGCCTAAAAATCGGTTGCGGTTATATAATATCACTAGCCCTCCGCCAGCGGTTTTGCCCGCGTGGTCTAATTTCCATACTTCTAAGTACAGAAATGAGAAAATGCCATGTAAACTTCATAGTTTTATTTCACCCCTTTGGGGGTTTAATTTCTAAAAATCTTTTCTTATTGCACACTTACATCATAAAAGTAACCCCTGTACCAAATTTTAAGTTTCTAAGTACAGTTTTTTCGGCTGTGTGTTGATACATAAGTTAATCAGGTTTGCCTTTTATAATATATATTAGGATTATTGCTTTTTTATTCAATAAAACTGAGAATTCTATTAAATCAACGTTATATATTTTCGTACAATTTTTTTACATGCTACTGAATAGTAGTAGAAAAGCGAGAGAGAGACAGAACATAATGTTGCTACTCTGAATTATTAAAATTAAAAATACACTTATACAGCCAGTGAAATTTTAATAATTTTTTTATCTAATATTTTTTGCTGTGTTAATTTTATTTTCTTATTAATTATTCTCAAAATTCTCAGGTGACACAGACGAGAACGTGTACGTGGTGCAGAACGGTCGCGTTAACGTTTACATTACCAACCAGGATGGTACGAGTCTGTCTTTAAAGATAGTGCGCGCTGGTGAGAGTGTGACGTCACTACTCAGCTTCACTGACGTCTTAACGGTGTGTATAACGTTTTTAATATGTTTTAGAACCGTGTCTTGTATCGTTAGGTTATTAATATACTTTTAAATATATTAGGCAATATTATATTCATTGTTCTGATTCTAATATGTTAAAGTATGATGGAGTATCTAAGACAAGGAAGGTATCATAACACCCAAACCCGAGCGACAATATAGAAATGTTTATTTTATACATTGAATCGACCCCGAGATCTTTAAGATGGCGCTACCTTATAACTGGCACCTGAATTACCCGACAACGGAGTCCGTAACTGTAGAGTTATCTTGTGTAAAATAATATGTTATCCTATTAATATGATAAATGTGGAAGTTTTTTCTTTGGATATATGTCCGTCAATCACGCCGAAACTACAGAATGGATTTTGATGAAATTTTGTATTCACATAGGGTATTGGCTGACTTAGATAATAGGATACTTTTTATACCACTAAATATTCCTAGGGAGCATGCGGGCGAAGCCGCTGGAGAAAGCTAGTTGTTTATAAAATGTAAAAAAAGTTTTAAATGTCAAAAAGCTTAGTATAATACTTCCTTATTTATTAAAGAAGACTCAATAGGGAATTTGGATCCCCAAGCAAAAATAGACTCAAGTGACTTTTTCACTAAGACCAGTTAAACGCAACTCGAGTATCTTTCACAAGGAATATAGTTCAAACGTATAGTAAAATAGCATGATTTGTTTATGTTGGCTTGCAGGGACATTCGCAACCTTACAAGACTGTTAACGCCAAAGCTTTGGAGGACTCGCAAGTGATAAAACTGCCGATGAGAGCGTTCCAAGAGGTTTTCAAAGAATATCCTGATATATTCGTGAGAGTTATACAGGTATGTTGTTGAATACAATACAAATGTTTATATTAGAGACTATATTGGTATCGCTCAGATGCCAAGTTGAGTAGTTAAATTTCTCTTGTTAGGGAATTTTGGTTACCTAGTCTCCCTATTACTTATACCAGTAGTTCTAAACCTTTTTGTCTGATGATTCAAAATAAAAATATAAAAATTTTAAGCCTACGCCCTTTTCTCGTTTATTTATGTATCAATGTAAATAAAATTATAGGAATCACTTTAAAAGTTATGGTTTTCTCACAGCGTCTTTTAATATTCTCGTGACTCTTAGTGCTTATTTTTAGAGTCCCTTACTCAAAAGGAAAATAATGGAACTTTGTACACTCACTTTGTTTTCGAATTGAAATTAAAAAATGTGTGAGTGGATAAATAAATAATCATTAATAGGTCATAACAATTTTTGATCCTAGAAGGAAAATAACGGAACTTTTTTGCTGACATTGATGTGAACTTAAAATAAAATGGTCCCAGGTTTTCAAGTTTACAATCTCTTAAAGCTGTGAAAAAATAAAATTTCTTGGTTAACGAATAAAACTGCGCCTGTTTGTGTCTAGCGATTAAATTGATTGGCTATGGCAAAGATTATACTTTATTTCGTAATAGAATAGAGCACGATATCTTAGCGATGTTATATCGATATTTCGTTTCATTTATGTACTCTAATAAAACATGAACGAAACATAAATAATGATTATAGATTGACATCAGTGTTACCAACTTACTCGTAAAACCAATAAAGGATATGTCAAAGTAGTAACATGAGACGATATATCGTCATAACATGGCTAGAATCATGGCTAGAGAATTAGGCGGTCGCACCCCTGAACTAGGTATTACAAAATGAAGTACAATATTTGCTGTAGCCAATCAAATAAATAGACATAAACAGGCGCAGTTTTTTTGTTAACATTAAAAAAATATATTTTTTCACAGTTTTAAAGGACTGTAAGCCTGGACTACGGCTCCATTTGCCATGTCGTATCCTATGGCTAGATAGTTAGGCGCACCCCGGCGTTAGTTTTTAGTGCTTAGTTGATTGAAACTATTTTTTTATTCCAGATTATTATGGTGCGATTACAGCGTGTCACCTTCACTGCCCTCCATCAATATTTAGGTTTGAGCGCCGAGTTAGTGAACCCGGTAAGGAATTATGAATAAAGGACCATTTTCATTGGTCAATAGCGTCCGCATGCGGGCTGCAGGTCATCTTTCAAAAGGAACGCTATTATTAAGCGAAATAACGATTGCTCTATTGACTGTTAATTTATTAGTCATTATTCCGTCTGGATTGTCGTGGCATGCGGTACACAGACCAATTAAAATGAGCCGTATGTAAAATCTTCGGGATGAAAACTGTGTAAACAAAACACTTCTTAATTTTGCTTTTTTTCCAAAACAGGAAAGATATCTTATGCAGTCTTTTTTGCAAAGTTAATAATTTGGCAGAACTATTCAACTTTTGCTTAAGTTAGACTTAGTATGCTTCATATTACGCAGTGTTTTAATTTTATATAATAATTGTATATATTTTCCTCATCAAATATGTAGCCGAGATTATATGGACAAGTCTGTACAATGATTATTTTTTGTTAGTTGTACACAGTCTCAGATTTCACTGTGCGCGTCAGTGTATTTCATAATAATTATATTTTTTTATCATTAAGTTATTATTATTACTGGCACAACCCTGAAGGAATCTTATGTTGCCAGTTTGTCGTATCCTTCTTAATTACCCTACTATGATCAGGGTCGAGATAAACGTCGGCCGACGACAGTGGCGTCATCTCCCGGCAAGAGCGGACGAGTGTCCGTAGTAGATAATATCACGACCATGCACTCGCCCCATCACAGCGAGAGAACGTTCCCAGAACATATGGTAAGTAGTTTTGATAATAATTGTGTCAGTTTCCGTTGTGTGTTATATTTTTGATAGAATAGGTCATTATAATTTTCTTCATGTTATAACCATATACCTAACTTGTTATTGAAGGAAAACGTTTTTTTTTTTTACTTAATTATCCCAGCTAATTTAACAAAGAATAATTTTGGTTTTCTCCCACGAATCGGTATTTCTAATGCCTTGTCGTGAATTCTATTTAAAAACAGATTTAGTTAAGTCGCGCAAGTTAAATATCCTAAATGCTGAGCAGTAGAAATACCTTAATGAAAAAGATGTATAGGTAAAATAACCTTTATTGTCATGAAAATAAGATACCATTTCCTCTCAACACAACATTGTATATAGCATGGACAGGACGTGAGTCACGTCGCGTCATCTCCTATACACATACAAGGCCGTAAACCCAGACCAGACATGGTGCCAGATATTACATCTAACACGCCGCAGGTATGTCCATATTTTGTTAACATCATATAAGGGGTCATTCAATTATTATGGAAGCAAAATCATAGCAATTTTTAACTCTAACACTCCTTATATCCAATAATAAAACATTTCTCCCTGTTTTCCTATGTTTATGCAAACATTTTAGCTACAACTTCTCGTTAGCAGGTGTATTCCTAATACTGTTGGTTACTTTTAATAGGGTATGTCCCTTCTTTTTCCATAATGTTTTTATATTCCTAATATAATTTCGCATAACCGTTTTGGCTTGATAATACTTTGCGATAATTGTGTTTGGCATAAAAATTATGTAATTATCTTTAGGTAATTTTTTGCATAATTTAAATTATACATAACACTACTAGACATTATATAACCGATCAGTCCGTTAGGTTAGAACTGTAACCAAAACAAAAAGCAAATGCGTCTCGACAGCGGTTGAGCGTCGTATTTAAGTTATTAAATATATACTTCAGGATTTTGTGCTTGAATATTATTGTGTTCAGAGAAATTTTACTTAATCATGATGTGTTAATAGCGTCATTTCTCCGCAGCAGCAGCCTGATGTTCAGCCCACTCCACCCTTGCAGAGGAGTAAAGATGGGTCTTCATTCAAAAAACACAACACTGATAATCTCGATGAACAGGTAAATAATACACACAAATTAAGGCAACGATATAAATCAAACAGACTAATGGACTCTTAATATCTACTCTGTTGTCTCTAGCATGGCTATGGTAACATTTCCATAGATATGTATAGGTATAACGAATTAGTGATATTAGTATAATCATATAATGTGCTTAAACTAAAAATATGACATTTTTTTATGCATTTACTAATAGGGTAGATTTGGTAGTGAAAACTAAGTCAATAAAATGCACAAAAACTAAAATTTACATCGTAGTCAACATTCTGATTCTCAATTTTAAAATCGCACTCTTAATCTATTATTTTAAAAGGTAGTTTTAAACTAGTGATTTTTGTCTGTTCGTCACGTGACTTGAAACACGACCCGCCATTGTGTGACGTCACTGTGGCGACTACTGTCAGATAAGTATTAAGGATATGCTTAATAATTATAAATCAAATTCCTAGATGGCGCTGTTCTTTGTTTATTTATATATTTTTATTTCGAAATCGATCGTTAGATGGCGTTATTCTTGTTATATCTTTTAATCTTCTACTCTATGAATCTGTTTTGTGTACATATCACAATGACTTCATGAATATGAGAGACAGCGTTTATACGGCTATAAAAAAAGTATGTGTATGTGACCAAACAATTATTATTATAAGCTATTTCGCGCTTCATAAGGCACGTTAAGCCGTTAGTCGCAGCTGTATTTGTAGTCGTTAATACCCTCCAATCCGCATCGAGCCAGCGCGGAGGGTCATGGCTCATCCTCCTTGGCCATCCATAAGGCCTGAGCCCCTGCAGTGGGAACGTAATAAGGCTGATGATGATAAATATTGCTTATTTGTTTATTTCTCAATGTAGGCACTCATTCAAATAGCGACAGAAGCATTCGTTAAAGAACTCGGTTTGGAGAGTGATCAAGTACTACTTGGTAACGTGCAAGTGAGAGACTTACCCGCTGGCACGTACATCATGAAGGAAGAAAGTCACAAGGTATGTGCATTACTTTTAATATTTTGATCTTAATCCCTTTGACTTAATATATATAAGAGAGTAACGTTTTAATTTTTGGTGTCAGGAATTCAATAAAAATCTATTTGGAATTTTCCTTATGAATTGAATTGGGACAAAGCTAGCTTCTTGCATAGTTCTAATTTGTGACAGTCACTTATTACGTTAATAATTATTTCCTATGCACGTTGCATATGAATGCTATTGAATATAAAAAAAAAGGATAAATAGAATACTAAAAATATTTACTGAAAATTGAACACTTTAAAATTGTATAAAAAAATTGGATATATTTCAGTAGATATACATAAGGTAGCGAACGGAAAAGATAAAACAGAAGCGTCCCTACTCTGTTATTACCACAAATATTTTGAAGCTGCCAATTATTTGTAAATTCTATTCATATTTTATTTTCATAAAATTTAATTATTTATATTGTTATTTTGTTTCCGTTCTAAAGCTATTTTATAGTATACCGGGTGAACCAGATATAAAACAGGTATTTGTGTGGATCACAGTTTCCGGTGTTGATTTTTGGCGATCACCTTCATAGCATGTTTTGTTAGTACTATAATTAATGGAATATAATTTTGTGATATATACTTTTCGTATAAACATACCGGCCGATCGGCATGTCAGGTTATAAAAAATTAAAATTTCCACAATCGATCTTAGACTTTAATTCTTTGCTGATTGAGTTCAAGATCGGTTGTATTATCATTGTAGTAATATGAAATGCCTTGATTGTAAGAAATAATAAACCGATTCATAAAATTTCATGTATATAAATAGAGATGTCGCGGATGCGGATGTGCCGAACATACGAAGTGAAAAAAAAATCGATTATATTCTTTCATTTTATAAAGTTCTTAAAAAGTGTTAAGATCTCAAATTTCATTTGCGATTATGATGCATCAACTACAACCACCGCATTTTCAACAGCCCTATTTTCAAAATTTCAAGATAAAACTATGGAATATCAACATTATCACATCACTGGTGTTCATCGACTACATTGCCAAATTTATTATTCATGTTTATATTATACTCATTGTAGTTTAACAGGTGACATCATTGTTTTATTGGTGTTTTCTTGTTTGTAATATAAATATGTGTGGATTTTGTATACTCTTAATCGTGTGAAAATATTATTATTAAAATGTTTATGTTTTAATTACTTGGTCACTTTTTTTCATTAATATGAAAGATTTATTATTTAGCTATAAAACTATTTGTAATAAATCCTGTGATTTTAACAGTCGCTTACTTTTATCATACGAGATCATACTATGGTTTCTATTATAAAAATCCATCTGATTTGTAACCGACAACGTAGGGAATAGTTAGCACGTTGATCGATGAGAGATAAAATGGTCGTATGAGATTGAATGAGTAAACCACATTCAGAAGGCCAAAAATATGGTCTACTTTAATTTGAACATTATGAAACAAACTCGATTTTCGCTTGCGATGATGTAATGACAGTGATAATTACTTTAGTCAGATATATCAATGTGTCAAAATTGAGCACATAAACTCCGTTAGAAAAGTCAACCTTAGTTAATATAATTAGAGCTCACAGAAACTTTTGTCAAAACTGGTTGACCATTTTCTTTGCTGACCGTACATATACTATAACAATAATAGACCAAACAGGTAACTATACGTTTTAATGGGCGACCTTACCACAATCGAATTCAATGTTTCATGTGTTAAATGTATGTATATTTGTTCTGTAGGATGTGGCCTTGGTGTATCTACTTTCTGGGGCGCTATTAGTGTCTCAACGTGTCGCTGAAGGTGAAGGAGAAGTGCACATGTTCACGGCGTATCCAGGTACTGATTAGTATAGGTTGAGTCCCATATAGGTTGAGTAAGACTTAAGGTAATACTAGCTTATCAAAGTCGTACTTGATGTTTGAAATCTTTGCTTTAAGGAAGCGCATGAAAGCACTATCTATCTATATCTTCACGCGGTATCCCTTGCGGGGTAGGCAGAATGAACCGAACGCCACAAAGTACAGTCCTTACATACATCTTTCCTTTTCATCCACTTTCATTACTCTTTTCATACATTCTCGCTGGTTTTTATGGTGTAGCATGAAAGCAAATTACGACGAAAAAAAATGAAATATCAAACGTACTATAATAAATCTTAAGTCAGTGAAGTAATGTTACGTATTACTGCAACATTCTGTAAACAGTACTTCTTATATTCATGAAAACTCATTCACAGAGCAGTGAGCAAAGAGTATAGTAATAGTTAGCATAGAATGATTTTAATATTGTTTGAATTTGTAATTAGGTACAGTAAAATTTTATGCAATAATAAATCAGCGTTGCATATTTTGATCGAAGAAGGAAGAGAATATTCATTTTTAAAAGATAAAATGATCGAAAATGTTTGTTTACTGCATGTGTTATTGCTGCGATCGCCGCCGATCTTTGCTTAAAAATTTAATTAATAAGTCATCCGTGAAATTAAAAAGTTAATATTTACAGTAATTTGCTAAGGCAATGTTGAAAGTTGTATGTATGTTATATTTAAAAAAAAGCTAGTTTAGAAACGAATATTGATGCACTGACATAAATTTTCACAAACCTAGAACAAGGCGTAGCTTAACTAAGAAATGCCTAATATTACTAATCGCCTATGCAGGTTAGTTTAATTCCAAATAAATATGTTTTGACATATTTATGACGCATAACGAATATCATAACTTTAGATATTGCTTAATTTCGTTAGATAGTTCCTAGTCCCTGGTGAAATGCATTTTTACTTTAGGCGACTCCTAAATATTAAGGCGACAGATTTGGGCGAATCCTAAGTTTAGTGAAGTCCAGTAAGATTAATTGGGAATCTTCCATTCGGTTCCATCTGCGGTCTAATCGTAGTATGTTTTAATTACAGAATATTTTGTTTTAACTGTTGTACCACAGGCGAAGTGGAAGGTGGTCTAGCGGTGCTAACAGGAGAGCCAAGTTTCTTCTCTATACGGGCGAAACATTTCTCGCGCATCGGTCTTCTGTCTAAGACCACGGTGTACAGCATCATGAGGGAGAGGCCCTCCGTTGTGTTACACATCGCCAACACTGTCGTCAGGAGATTGTCGCCGTTTGTTAGACAAGTGGACTTCGCGCTCGATTGGGTTAGTATCGCTGTAGATAAATAATCCGCTGCAGGCCTTTGTTTGTATTTGCCTGCGAATGTCTGAATTTCCTTCTTCACTGTGGGCATCTCAAGGAATTCGTGAATTTCATTATTTCGAATAAACCACGGTGCATTACTGATTTGCCTCAAAATGTAGTTCTGGGCAGTTTGAATTTTATTTATGTTAGAATTGCATGTGGCTCCCCAAACTTGGATACCATGTGTCCAGACCGGTTTTATGACGGTTTTGTAAATGAGTAGCTTGTTATCCAAGCTCAGTTTTGCGTTTCTGCCAAGTAGCCAGTATAAACCTTTGTACTTTAGATTAATTTCCTTGCGTTTCATTTCAATGTGTTTTCGCCATGTTAATCTGCGGTCCAAGTGAAGTCCAAGATATTTCACTGTATCGCTTTGAGGCAGCACCCTACCACCCAGGTTTACTGGAGGACAAGTTTCTCTTCTCAATGTGAATGTGACCTGCAACGATTTGTTAGCACTCACTTTGATTCTCCATTTGTCGAACCAGTCATTTATTTGGGAAATGCTTTGTTGAAGTTTTGCAGTAGCATCTGTTGGATCCTTACTAGAGGCTAATATGGCAGTATCGTCTGCGTAGGTTGCGTATGTGACTCCGTGTATGTGCGGCAAATCTGACGTGAATATCGTGTACAGGACCGGCCCAAGTACAGATCCTTGTGGCACTCCAGCTGTTATCTCATAGAAGCTTGATGTGCAGTCATCCTCTTTTACTTGAAATATTCTATTGGTGAGATAAGATTCCAGTATACTATAGAAGCTATGAGGTAAGAGTGACTTGATCTTATAAAGTAAACCCTTGTGCCACACCCGGTCAAAGGCCTGTTGGACGTCAAGGAATGCCGAGGAGCAGTATTCCTTTCTCTCAAGACTATCGCTGATATATCTGCACACTCTGTGTATTTGTTCAACTGTACCATGTCCGGCTCTAAACCCGAATTGATGGTCTGGGGTTACGCTGTTTTCGTTCATAGCGTATGAAAGCCGTCGTAGTAGTATCTTCTCACATACTTTAGATAGGATAGGTAATAGGCTGATTGGTCTGTAGGATGCAACTTCATGTGGTGGATTACCAGATTTGTGGATCATGATTACTTGAGAGACCTTCCACAGGGCAGGATAGTAGGCGACTCTAATGATACAATTGAACAGTGTAGTTAGATATACTATTGCCTTGCGCGGCAGTTCTGACAGGACTCTCTTATCAATAAGATCAAACCCTGGAGCTTTCTTGCTTTCTAATTGTCTGATGGTTCTTTTTACTTCGGCTGGTGTCGTGGCTTTTAGAGGAAGGTCAAGTTGAAAGGGTTGTTGAAGGGCATTATCTATGTCAGCTTCACTAGAACCAGGAGCAGCTTCATTGGGAACAAATACCTTAGCCAGGTGCAATGCGAAAGCTTTAGCTTTCTCTTGTTTGGTTCTTGCCCATTTGTTTGCTTCCAAACGGAGTGGAGGCTTTGGGTTTATTGGTTGATTCATGTGCTTGCACGCCTTCCACAGTGAGTAATCTGAGCCACTAGTAGCAGTTAACGATGACAGGAATGCCTCAAGTGATGTACTTTCCCCTTCTTTTATAGTCCGTTTCAGAATTTTACTATAATTGTTAAACGCTCTTTTATCGTCTTGGTGTCGGCTAGTGTGCCATACTCTGCGCAACCGTCTTTTTTCCAGAATCATGTGTCTAATTTCAAGCGGAACAGGGTTCTGTCTCATGCTTCTATCAACCGTCACTTCTGTACTCTTCCAGCAAGCCATTTGGATCGAGGTTGTAAAGACCATAATTGCGTTATCAATTTCGTCTTCATCCTTGAGAGATATTTGAAGCTGTAAGGAATCTTCGACAAGGGCTCGAAATAATTCCCAGTCTGTCTTGTTACTATACAACCTCGGTTTTCTTTGCGTCTCTAACACATTAGCACTAACTGTTAGTATGACTGGAATGTGATTGGAATTTCCATCTAAGCAAGATTCAATGTGGTAGAAGTATCGAGAAAGACCTTTCATTATGAAAAAGTCCAGAACATCAGGTAGCTTGCTTGGATCGGACGGCCAGTGGGTAGGTTCCGGTGTGGCAATTGTTGTCAGAATGTTATTGTGAACACATTTTTTGAGTTCTCTGCCTCTAGTGGTAATCAGTCTTGATCCCCAATGTACATGCTTAGAGTTCCAGTCTCCTCCAGCTATGAAGCGTGGCCCAAGACTTTTGATGTATGTTGTGAACTGCTCTTCTGTGATCTTGTGTTTTGGAGGGCAATAGACTGATGAGACATTGAAATGACCATCTTTATCTTTGATGTTTACTGAGGTAGCTTGGATAAACTCTGTTTTATAAGGTGGTAATTCACAGTGTTCTATATTAGATTTGATTATAATAGCAGTACCCCCATGTGCCGTACCGTCTGGGTGGTTTGTTGTATATATGTTATAACTTCTTATATTTACGTGGCTACTGTTAGTAAAATGTGTTTCTGATATAAGAAGTATGTCAAGTTGGTGTGTCTTTAACAAAATTTCGACTTCATGTTTGTTGGGTGAGAGTCCGTTTGTGTTCCAGGTTGCTATTTTAATTTTACTTATTTTGAGGACAGTTTATTTACAAGTGTTGTCAAGAGCCCCAACATGGTGCTCATTTGTTGTAATATCACATCAATTTTTTCAGATTGTTTTATAAATATTTGTTCTATTCGGTCATATGTTGGATGTTGGTGGGGTTCTTGGTTAGGTCGTAGGTTGTGAGTCTTCATGGAGTCTTTTAGGGCTTCACTGTAACTTTTTGTTGCACTGTTGTTTTTGGTTGTGACACCTTTTCTTTCTTTATCTCTGTCGTTGGCAGCATTAATAGGCTGCGATTGAAGTTCGGTTCTCCTGGGCAATGTTCTTGTTAATGTTTTTCTTGTCAAAATTTCCTTATAGACTTCACAACCTTTGTAGTTTGCAGGATGTGGACCAAAGCATAGGGCGCATGTGGCCGGAGTGGAACGATCAATTTTGGGACAGTGTTTCGTAGCGTGAGATTCCGCGCATTTCAGACATCGATGTGGTCTCATGCAATAGTTTTTGGTGTGACCATACTGCTGGCACCTTTGACATTGTACAATAGTGTTTCTTTTCTTAGGGTCTTCTATGGTGACAATTTGGTGATAAATACATCTAACTTCCTTTGCAGCTTTGTTTTGAGGCCCAGGATGCAGGTTTACAAAGAACGTAGATGTTGGTTTTTTATCAGGTCCGTACCTTGCATTGATGATTTCACCAACCACAGTGTTTCCGGTTTCTTCAAAAGCAGTTTGTATTGCTTGATGCGGAGTTGTGTGGTGCAGATTTTTGATAACTAGTCTGCAGTTTCTATTTTCTTTTCTGTTGAAGGTATGGCCAATCAGACCCTTTTCTCGAACTGCTGCGATGAGCTTTTTATATGCTTCTATATCTTCACTCATGATCCTGATTTGAGTTTTGTTCACTACCTTGTATGTGAATGTTTCTCTTTTCGCTGCCGTTTCTAAGAATTCAGTCAGTTTATTAACATCTTCTACTCCATATAGTATAATAGGAGGAGGTTTATTGGGTTTCTTTTCTTTAGATTTTTCAGCTTCTTGGGTAAGGGGTAGTCCGCTAAACATGTTAGAGGTAGGAATGATTTCAGGAGACTCTGAATCACGTAACTTTCTCTTCTTCTTTTGATTGACTGGAACTTTCTGCCAGTCTGGCAAGCCAGTCCAGTTTTTGTCTTCTAGCGATACTTCGAGAGTCTTTACTTTATTTGAGCTAGGCTTGATACTTCCAGTTGAGGAACTTCTTTGTCTAGTGAACAGACTTGGGTGAAATGCTTGCTGCATATATTTTTTAGCACCAGTAGCATTTACTGACACAGGGGCTTGGGCATCTACCCGTATCATATTTTTTTCTTGACCAGTCGCATTTCCTTGGGAAACAGCCTGGGTACCCACTGTTTCACCATCTCCAATATTTTGCAAAATTATGCCCCCCCCAGAATACGTGGGGCTGCCTGAGGTAGTCTCAGAGAGGGATTCTCCAGCATGGCTGGTACCCTCCTGGGGTAGTTTTTTTTGTAATTTTGCATCCATAATTACTGTTAGTTTACTCCTGCACGAGACATTTGAGGGATTATTTAGATCCCAAAGGCTCGCTCTAGCCTCTTCTAACCAGTTGCCCAGTTAGGTGTATGGTTATACCGCCATTGCTCGGTCGTCAGAGCCTCGTCTGTTATCTAGCAGGGGGCACCACGGCAGCCAGTTGGTCGCCGCCACCATACGGTGCGTGCAGGTGAGGTTGACAATAGGGCCGGATAAGATGTTTGTTCCGTTCTCCCCATTTAATTTTCTTCACATGTAACTGCTGACGAATCGTGTATACTAATTAGGATGATATTTGTTTAATTTTTTTGTTAGTTCTTTATGCAACATATATATAGTTACATAATATTTTTTAAAGTGAGCTCGTCTTAAAAACTCCCATATTGAAGTGTCGCTTTTAGGATATGGAATGTCTTTTTTTGCACAATGTTGTTAACGACAAGCGTTAAGTTATATTAAAATAATAATTGTTTTTTTGAATTAAAGTTATGCATAACTTAAATTCGAATTCTGTAAGTAGATACGAAACGGTTAGGTTAGGTTAGAACACTGACCAAAAACAAATAGCGAGCATGTTATTGCAGCAACCGGCGAGTGCCATATTAGAGTTGGCCGTATTATCCGGTTTCGGTGCCTAATATATTCAGTTCGATAATTTCTATTTTCTTTTCTACATGCCATGTTATAGAACTAAAAGACATAACTTCTTATGTAAAATTTATTTTATAAATCAAAGAAATTTTACAAAAATATGTGTTCAATAAAGCAATTAAACGCGACAAAACAATAATATGGTAAACCGAATAATTCGGCCGAATATCCGTTTCGGTAAAGGTTAAACCGAAAAGTATTCGGTTGTTCGGTCAAGCCACTATTGGGCGTGTCTTTAATACAAACGTATGGGGAGCCGTATAATATATATTTATTTGTTAGGTTCGTGGCAGAAGCCCACCGCTGGGTTGGGCGCGGCGGCGGCCATTGACCCGCGTCCCTCTCAACACAACTTCTCTACGGTGGCGGTGGTGCCGGTGAGCGATGATGTACCGCTCACTGCATTCACTTACGAGCTATACCACTCACTGTGCGCTATAGGTGAGACTATCATCATCACCACATGTTAACCTGTGTATCATAATATCATAACCTATGTAAAAAAACCTAGCTTCGTATCACTAGATACGCTTCGATACTTAGCATCTATGGCGCGTAAACTTTCTAAATTTTTTATGTCATAAAAAATGTTCCAGGATATCTTTAAAAAAAAATGTTTCATGTCATTCACAGTGTGAGGATAGAAAGAAAAAAAAAAAAATGTTTGGCAAGTGTTTGAGCAATATTGTGTAATGTTTATTTCGAAGTTTCATGAATACTATTGTGTTTTTTGTTGGTATTGTCATAATATAATATTAAAAGAATATACATGCATACATGCAGTCCTAAATTATGTTCTTTATTGATTAATAAAAACAACGATAGATTTTATCGATATGTGAATTATTGACATGGATAAAAATATATGCCTATCCCTACTCATACTATATTTGTTTTTGTAAGCAAGGTCAGTTATCTGAGAACGTGACACCAAAAACTGCTTGTTGGTCCATTGAGAGTTCTAAGTATTAGAGGTGGGTGGGTGGAGGTAAACAAAAGGTGTCCGTTAATAGATTTAAAATGTTACTAATATACTACTATTCATCTAAATGGAAATTAATTTGACAACAATAAATCTATGTGTTTTGTAATAGGTCCCACAGTTCGTCTCACATCGGACGTGATAAGGAAACTGCTCGGGCTCACTATAATGGACCCTAACAACGAATACAGGCTGAGCTCATGGCTCGCGCAGCAAGAAGATAAGCACAAGGTACATTATATTATATTTTTTACTTTTTAAGTTTATTAACAAAAGCAAAGCCAAACAAGAAATAAACTTCTTGCAGACATTTTATTAGGAGATTATCTTTTGCCAATACACTTCCCCTAACCCTGCAGCATGAACACTTATGGTGTATACGTAATACTGTCTCACTTATGCAGTTGAAATGTGAGCAGGACAGTAACACATTATCGCATCTTGAGTGTTGATGACTGTATTAATTTTGCAATGAGGGAGTTTGCTTCGAGATATTTTTTTATATATGTTTTCGCTCTTTGTTTCGTATAAAAATAAATTTTGATGATTTTAGTGTAGAAAGTAACTTTATTACCAACATTTGGAATATTAGTGGGAATAGTATTTATCTTAATATTATATTGTTGTCAGGTGGCGTTATATCAGTGTGATCCGAGCCTAACTCAGTGGACGCAGCGTTGTATACGTCAAGCTGACTGCATATTAATAGTGGCATTGGGTGACAAGCAGCCAAGTATCGGCAGGGTAAGTAGAATAACACAAAATAATATTGTGATTACGCTTTTACGATCAGGCGGTACCGATCAACATCACCAGCCTTTTATTGTCCTCCTGCTTAGGCTAGGGAATTCCTTATGGATGAAATTAAATCAAATAGGGAGGATGGCCTATAACCCACCGCGCAGCCCAGTGATTGGTGGGTGTAACAACTGCAGATGCAGCCGGGACCCACAGCTTAACGTACCTTCCGAAGCACGGAGAAGTTCGAGATAATAATTTTCGGTCACCCATCCTATAACCAGCCCTTGCGAATGTTTAACAAACATATTGCAGAGTAAGCGCGCTTTGCACTGCGCTATTGCTACAGAAAATTAAAAAGTATAATAAGCCACTTCAATGAAATGTCGCTGTAGTCATTTTAATAGGTTTCCGAATCTTAATTCCTATTTCTTTTAGATATTATTAAAATCGACATCCAATAGATCCGTGTTCTTTATTGTTTTTAAATCTTAAAGTAGGACACAATAAAATTGTCTATAGTCAATTCCTAGGGCAGGCAAAACTCTGACAACGTCTCAGAGAGCGAGCGTGGAAAGTAAACTATACGTATCGCTACCCATATAACTGTGTATCGTAGTACTGGCCATTGTTGTACATAGTAGGGTCAGCGACATAAAACTTTCCGTATAGCAAAAAATAAATAGCACTCCGCACCGATACAGAGTTCTATGGGTATATATATCTTTTTACATTTAACGCTCACATAACGCTATATCTTACTACCGGAACTTTATATTGATTTTCTGGGACGAATAAAAGGTCTGACTTGTAAACTCAAGTGTCATCAATTTTATTCCGAATCAGTATATAGAGAGTACCGTACTCTATGATAAAATATTTTTAATCTTACATTGCTCTTTATAAACACAGAAAAAAAAGTATTAAAGATTTTTAACGTTGTAAATCCCCAGATCGAGAAAGAGATAGAACGTCTCGCGATCCGTACTCAGAAGGAGTTAGTGCTGTTGCGTCGCGAGGGTGGTCCGAATCCCTCCGGCACAGTACATTGGTTGAATATGCGGTCTTGGGTGAGCCAACATCATCATGTACGATGTCCACATCGAATGTTCACTAGGAAGAGTCAGTATAGAATTGTAAGTATTCAACTCCTTTTATGTATTGAGATCGTATATGCATATGTATTAGCATTCTAATATTATAAAGAGGAAAGATATGTTTGTTTGTAACGAATAGCCTCCGAAACAACAGAAGCGATTTAAAATATTCTTTCACGCACGGGAAGTTACACCATATGGTATATATTATCTCCAGAAAAACAGCAAATAAAGGGATGAAAATGAGAATGGAAGATTTTACAGGGAATTAAAACGTTACTCGAGTAACAATTGTTTATTATTCAATATGTCATTGTAATTATATTCGTGTCATCATATGAATCAATATTCAAATAAACAGTTCCTTAGGGGCCGTACGGGCGAGCCGCTGGCGGAAACTTTAATTGTCTTTATCTTAAATGTAATGTTATGTTATTTTTGTTCATATGGGTGAGCCGCTGGCGTAAAGTTAGTTATCTATGTTTTGAATCTATACTAATATTATAAAGGTGAAGAGTTAGTTAATTTGTTTGAACGCGCTTATCTCAGGAACCACTGGTTCGAATTGAAAAATAATTTTTGTGTTGAATAGACCATTTATCGAGGAAGGCTTTAGGCTATAAAACATCACGCTGCAACTATTAGGAGCGAAGAAATAGTGAAGAAACGGGGAAAATCATTCATCCTTGAGTGAGTCACGTTGCGTGCGCTGCGAAAACTGATCAAGATAACAAAAATATATGTATGAAAAACTATGCTATGATAACAGCAATCATTGTTTACTATTCAATTTGTAATTATATCTGTGTCATGCTATGAATCGATACTCAAATAAACAGTTCCCTAGGGAACAAGCTAGCGTTTTATATAACGTTTGTTCCAGAGCGAGTTGTACAGTAAAGTGTTGATGTCAGAGGCCAGCGTGCACTCTGATTTCTCACGTCTGGCTCGTTGGCTCACCGGGACTTCTGTTGGACTAGTGCTGGGTGGAGGGGGAGCCCGCGGCGCCGCACACATAGGAATGATACGAGCCATACAGGTAATATAAACCTAAACTTTTTAGGGTTCCGTACGTCGAAAGAAAAAACGGAACCTTTATAGGATCACTTTGTTTTTTCGTCCGTCTTTTAGAACCCTCTTTCTCAGGAACGCGTGGTGGTATCAAGCTGAAATTTATATGAAATATTCATTTATGTCGCCATTTATGTCGGAAATTTACGATACTCGCTAGGGAATCAAAACATACAGGGTACTTAAATTTAGAATCTTGAATAAAACTAAGTAAACAAACAAACTTGAATAAAACTAAGTAAACAAACTATGAATTCCATTTTCATTTCACTTTTATTACTCGATATGTTTCTGACGTAAGAACGTTAAGTATTCTGTGACGTTTGTTAAATGAAATCAGTATGGCGACGTCGCTATTCCATTTTCCATACATATTTTGGCAGAGAAATTTAAAGTACAAAGTATGGTTGTTGGGGATGGTGCTTTATTTCGATGGCTGGCTGTGGACTGTATGATGTTCAGGTGCAAAACAAAGATGGTTTGACTTCTAGAGACGATTTATTCTTCTTACAACTATTTCTTCTTAACTGGTATCTTACAACTTGACTGCTTGACTATTAATGACTGACTACTTGCTGACTGACTACTAATATTTTCAATTTTCGCCCTACCCTTATTCTAAACTTAATGTCTAACTTAGCTTAGTGGGGGTATCGCCGCCACCGTGCGGACGGCGCCTACGCAGCCAATGGGCTCCTCGATAATTCAACAAATGTAGGCGCAGTGATTGGTCGTTCGATCAGTTAATTTTCGCGGCACGTGGCTGTCGACAACAATGGTGTTAGATTTCGATAAAAATTAAACTTATATAATTTTATTATACGCACCAAAGTAGATTAGGTATGTATCTAGTTTTAAATTAGCATTTTTGTGTTTAACAGGAGGCGGGTATACCGATCGACATGGTGGGCGGAGTTAGTATCGGTGCGTTCATGGGTGCGTTGTGGTGTATGGAGAGGAATATTACCACAGTAACACAGAAAGCGAGGGAGTGGTCTAACGTAAGTTTTTTATCTCTTCGATTACTTTGTAGTCGTACATTTCGAGGACTTACATACATGAGTCTTCATTGCCACTATTTTTAAGAAGTCGAGATTGAAAAGGTTTCTTTTACCTTCGGCATATTATGAGAATCGTGACCAGTGGTGGAACACATTTTAATAGTTGTTATTGCTAAGTATAATGTTTTTTTTTTATTGATGAGGCCGGTTCGTATCGACTTTTGCTGTCATTTTTGATTCGTGTGACGTTAGGACTTGGTTGTATTATGACGTCCCTTTTTTGAATATGTCCTTTTTGAAAGATAATTTTAAAAGTATCATTTCTAAGTAAATTGTTGAATTAATGCATCTACACCTATAAAATCGTGATAAGGACAAATAATACTTATAGCGCAGTTCATTTCAAAGACAATTTTATGCATTTCAACAACTTTCCTTTTTCAAACTTCAGAAAATGACCCAATGGGGTAAACAGCTCCTCGACCTCACTTACCCAGCAACCTCCATGTTCTCCGGTCGTCAGTTCAATACCACCATACGTTCCACCTTCGGGGAAGTTCATATCGAAGATCTATGGCTCCCATACTTCACAGTCACGACAGATATCAGTGCTAGTTGCATGAGAATACACAGACACGGTAAGTCATACTAAACCTTATACTGTAAGGAAAAGATCTAGATTCGAATACGATATCTTGGCTATTATTCTGTTTTTGTTAGCGTAAAATGTATTTTTAACTGGGAATCATAAAATTAGATATCCACGGAAATTTATGTTCAGACTTTAAGAACAATTGAGATATGACATGTAAACACAAAGCCATATGGCGTAGTATAAGGTCTTATTCTGCATTGTGATGTAGAAAAAAATACTTCATAGGCATAGATTCAGTAATTCTAGTACTATACATTGGGTACTTTAATGTCCAATATAAAATTTAAAAAAAAATTTTTTTATTACATATAAATTAATTTTAAATTAGAGAATTACTTTTGATAAAACCATTATAAATAATTTATTAACACAACACATTCATGGACAGGAAGTTACAAAATCTGATGTTTTGTTTTGTAGTTTTATTTGCACTTTTACTAGCCCAAAGAGTTATTTTACTCTTTTTTTATTAATAATATGTATATTTGGTTATCATTCGTATTTATATTTTTAATCGAAACTTGATATTTAAAAGTTACAATAATAAATGACATAACACTTAATTGCATGGTTGATTTGATGTTATTGAGAATGTAGTTTATTTTTTGCCTCTGGTGTCTGCTGACCAGATGATATGAGGTATTCTAACATCCAATTTACCTAATACAATGTTAGATACAACTTTATACTATAAGTTATAAGGTTTGTTTTTGTGTTGTTGGTTTGTTTGCTTTTGCGGATTAGTTTATACCATCATATGATCATAAATATCTATGGTGGCGTAAAATTACTAATATTGTGGACGAGACAGTGTGTTTTCCGTCTCGCTCTGTGACGTTTGACGTTGCTCATTGGAGGATAAAGCTAATGTTTATTTTGTGTTATTAATCCGCTACAGTTTTGTTTTAATCTTTGACAACCACACTCACTTGCATTCATGTGTTTATGATTTTCAAAGTGTGTTACATCGCGGCAATATAATTATGTAATTGACTTTTTTTTTACTGTTTGTATGTATTGTCTCCCACTCGGTGTTCACATGTCCCCTGTATTTATAAACAAAGCTATTTATAATTGTTATATATATTTTTTTCTAAATACGAATCCGACATTTGCTTTGGGTCGTTGCCATTACTTATTTGTTTAAAAAAAAAATAAAGAGCGCTTGTGATTGGTTTACCGAATAACGCTTGAGAGTTCCATTTTTGAAAAACATGTTTATTACAAACCGGTGCGTATTTACAATGTCGGGTTGGATGTGAATAATCAAATGGTGTATGTATTGGTGGTTACAAATCATACATTTTTGTTTTTCATTAGTACCTTTTTCATCTCTTTTCATGTATATGCATGAGTGTGGTTTTAGTTTTCTAATATTCATTCGACAATTCATACATATTACATATCATCGTCTTCATCTAGTAGATATTCTGTGATTGCACTTGAAACGCACTTTGTAGTTAAAACTTAGTATTTAGTTGTAGATAGAGTTAATGTGCATTTCCTAATTTAGTTCTTATTTACATTCAAAATAGGACTGATTAATTTTTCACAAAGTTTTATCATGAAGGTATCTAGTCTTATAATATATGCTAAGTTTAGTGCAGGACTACTTTGTTGATTCTGATTCGGTCTTGGGTTGGGAAAAAAATAAACTAATATTTTTCTCTCTAATTTGAGTCGTTTTTAAAGCTGTCTCTGTTTTGATTGTTTTGTAACACTACTGAATAAATATTCTTTAACTATTAGCTTTGGGATCTAAAGAAATATAGCTAAATGGAAATTACATGTGTAAGTTTTGCTTTAATGGGGGTGATCGGTCAAACCTAATCGCAGATGGCGTTGTCGTAGCTTCTGCCTTCGTATAGTCCAGTCAAATAAGCACGAAAGGAAACAGTCTATCGATTATTACATCTTGAATAAGTCAAGCACACCGTTTAGCTTTACTACTTTGCTTAATACTTCCTAAATTTCGTCGTGATGGTGTTAAATAAACTGATTTACCGACTAAGAGTCGAGACTGTTACTTTTTTTCTTTTCGTAGTTTTAGTTTTTTTGGGATGAAGCTACGGCAGCGCCATTTTGATATTTGTATAACCATTTAATGCTATAAGTTAATATTAAATCAGAAATGAGTCATTGGTATTGAATTTTCTTCCATGGAAAATTATGTAAGAATGTATTTATTTCTTTATTATGTGTCCTGGTAACATTTTATTTTTGTATAAATGTTGATTATTTATTATGTTGATTAACAACAACTTATTACAAATATAACAATAACATTTATACTAATATTAAAAAGAGGAAGGGTTTGATTGTTTGTTTGCATTAAATAGGCACTAAATTTCGAGAACGATTTTAAAATTTCTTTTAGAAGGCTATAATTTACTTTATATAATTTATACTTTAGCTTTTACTATAATTTATTTTTAATTTTATAGCGCGAGAGAACAGCAAATAGACATAATTACTTATTCTAATTTCTTCATTGATGTTTCTAAATTTTGAAGTTTATCTTAAAACTAATCGATTAATTTAACTAAATTGTAAAAATATAATTTTCGTAAAGTGATAGAGACTTCGAGTTCTGTCTCTAACTTGACAGTAAATACATTTCAAACAAAAATTTCGTATATATCTTAAGCAATGGAAACTTTAAAAATGTGAAACCGACATCGAAAAAGATACCCTTAATAGTGAAGTCTGTCCATGGGGCAGAATGACTAAAATTATAAAAATCGTTTTGATTGATTGCAATTGTTTACAATCCATACAAAATAGTTTTTGGCTACAAAGTCACTCGTGTATTTATCAAATTAAATCTTAAGGTAAATTAGTAATCCATACTAATATTATAAAGCTGAAGAGTTTGTTTGTTTGTTTGAAAGCGCTAATCTCAGGAACTACTGGTTCGAATTGAAAAATTATTTTTGTATTGAATAGACCATTTATCGAGGAAGGCTTTAGGCTATATAACATCACGCTGCAACTATTAGGAGTGAAGAAATAATGGAAAACGCAGACGAAGTCGCTGGCGACCACTAGTTGTTTTATAAAAAGTAATGTTAAACAACACAATGAAATATGATGTATTAAACTAATTCTTAATTACAATTTACATGTAATTTACTTTTAGATATTTATTGATATCATTTAGTTCCCCTATTTAGCCAGGGATCGCGGATGGTGTTGGTTTGTTTTTATTCTGGAAAATAGAAAATATTTATTACATTATAACTTGCATGAATTGCTAATTTATATACTAGGGTACTATGCTAGTTGTGACCGTTTGTGGTTGAGTTCACAAGACATGGCCACCATTGCTTACCACTAGTGGTTGACTCACAACAAGTCAACGCCGGTCGTTATTTTGTTTTTATTATACGAAGAGGTAGAATCGGGGATAAGCCAGTGATGCGACTCGAGTAGGATTCTGTGACTCGAGGCACTCGAGCCATTTAACTACCTCACTCGAGTCATTCTCGAGTTTTCGAGTCACTTGTGTAAAAAAATTGCACACGTGCCACGCGATTAAAATTTCTTTAAGTAATTTTAAACAAACACATGTATAAGTAAAATACAAATGTATAAAGAGTTTTGACATATTATTTATTTAAGTGATTAAGAAAAAAATAAGCGGCATAAATGTATAAAGTAGAGTAGCGAAGTGACATCTACTGCCAAGAGCATCAACTAGCCGACTTGACTCGATAACTCAAGCGAATTTTTTTTTCCACTTGAGTACGAGTGTGAAAAACAGGGCTCGAGTTGCATCACTAGGATAAGTTAGTGAGGTGAGTTAAAACTCGACCATTAGTAGTTAGCGTTATCTACTGTCACATATTTTTGATTGGACGCGACCACTCAAACGCTCGATTTTCTTCGATCTCATAGGAAAAGTATGAAAATGTTCGTCTTCTATTTCTAGCAGCCAGTTGCCATCAGTGACCTGATGCTAGTCAGCTCGTATAGATTATAATAATATATATATAACGGTACCTACAATTATACGCCGTAGTTCCTGTAGCGATTCATTTGTGATTCAGAATTTGTGTTCATACATTAGCATGTTGTGCATGATAATAACATACTATTAGCGTCTGTCCTCACCACAAATAATTCATATAGTAAAATAGTAAAACACAATATTTTCTACATATAAAAATCCTCCAATGTCCTACAGATCGCGTCAATATTTTGGGTTGGTAAAACTAAATATTATTTCCTCTAGGTACACAGTTCTTCTCTCTTTTTGATGGCTGCTCACGTTCATCGTTTCCTTTCCATGGACCGTGTTGTCTAGTATAACTTGCACATACTCAAATTCTTCCACAGTGCTCTAACACGTGTTTTGAAACCATTACTATTAAAAAAGATCCAACGCCCGAAATTAGAAAAAAAAAGTAAAATGTCTAATTAGTTGACGCGTCGCAGGTTCGCTATGGCGTTACATACGCGCCTCGATGTCGTTGAGCGGTTACATGCCGCCGCTGTGCGACCCGGTAGACGGCCACCTCCTATTGGACGGCGGTTACGTCAACAACCTGCCAGGTAAACCAATCACAAAGCACTATCGCTGTGACGCGCGGCGGAACCCGGCACCCGATTGGTTAGAGACGCGAGCTAATAACGCGACGATTTAAAATTGAGTGTAAATATTGTGCCTATCGGTGATATTTTTAGTTGCATGTAGGTGCTAACAGTATGCTAGTTGATCATCTATATCTGTAAATGCTGAAAGTTCTCTATTTTCTATGGTCAAAACCACCCACACTCTATTATGCACTTAGTAATAATGGCTTTCTGTCTCTTTTCAATCAACAACTTTACTAATTTGAGATCTGAAGTGAATATCAATTTTTAACGTCTACCTCCCTTGGAAACAAGTGTATTTAAATGTTATTTATTTATTGAGATTAATATTAGGCATTATGCATTATTACAGTTGCAAATATTTATTGTGAGTTATCTCACACGCAATAATAACACTTTTGTGTTAAACATTAAGTGTGCTGCTCAGCAATAAAGTTGTCCAAAGCAGTAAAACAAAGAGAAATCTAATCTGCTTCATAAATAAATGTATGTAGACGGGTTTTTTTTTTATAATGAGTATTCTGGTCGAGGTCAACTAGTTTAGCTGTAAGCACTTAGTGTTAAAGAGAAACTGGTAATATTTACACTCGAGCACCCTGGTAAGTGATGGCAACGCACGTGCTTACGAGTCCAGCTCCGCAGGTGTACTGTGGCGATATTGCCGCGCCTCAATGAGTATTGCCGGCATTTTCCCGCCAATATGCGACCCCATGGATGGCCATCTGCTATTGGACGGATGTTACGTCAACAACGTGCCAGGTTTGTTTCGATTTCAATGTTGAAATTTTCATAATATGAAGTAATGTTGACTTATTATGACAGGATCAACAATGTTTTAAGTGAATGAATTGAGCTTGAGAAAAAATCATGTCGAAAAACTACGCGTTTGTAACTTGTACTGAGAGGAATCGGCAAAAAATTCAGCCAGCTCTCATTTATTTCATGCACAGATAGTATTTACGATCCGGTTACCTTGGGATTCCTTTCCAGTTACCAGCTCACGCGAGTAGGGGTACAGAGGGTATTGTCGGGTGGGCCAACTGCACTAGACCGCCATCCCTTGCAGTTATAGAGCCCCAGTTTAGTCGGCCTTTGTCAGGGTCGATAAAATGTTAAGGTCACTTCTCTTCGGTATAAAAAAAAGTTAAATTAGGTATAGGGGCTCAAAATTTTTCGCGTTTAAACGCCTCTGTCGGTCGATTGTACCTGAAAAGTTGGCGTTTTTACTCCAGCCAACTCAAGTGCAGTTCTTAGGATCTTTGCAGAGGTGTGTTAATTATAAATTTTTGGGTTGCCAAATATTGTCTCCGATGTGGTACCAGACTCTCTCATTCCGGGATTATATCTCTTAATATTATCAATAACAATTAATATCGGTAAAGTTTTTTATAGGTAAATTCATGAAGCAATCAGAAAATATTTTTGCTCGCAGTATGTAACAGAACCTTATCAGAATTTTCAACCTTATCCAATCTGATTCCGTTGGTTGAATGAAACGTTCAACTTTTCAGCGGACGTGATGAGATCTTTCGGTGCGAAACACATCCTTGCGATCGACGTAGGCTCCCAAGATGACGTGGACCTCACTAACTATGGAGATGATTTGTCTGGCTGGTGGCTCCTGTGGAAGAGGTAAGATGTCGACTACTATATTTGTTACAACTGAAATGCATGAATCAATTATTCATTCAAATATACGTGTATGTTAAGTCCTAGTAGTTATGTGTGTGTCGTGTTAGGAAAAGTGGGGGGGGGGGGGGGGGGTGGAACTGGACTATTGTACGAGCTAAATTTATCAAATTTCTGTATTGGAAATTTATGTTGCCTTTACTTGGTGCTTTGCTTTACGTAGTATTTGAGTGCAATTATTAATACATACAAACATTGGTAATATAATGTGTTTCGATATTCGATCTGTTCCTAATATTTATGTCAAACTTGCTTTTGGAAGCTATTTTACTAAGCTTATTGCATCCATGACGCAGTACACACTCAACCGAAGCTTGAATTCGCACTTAGACCTAGTACACATTGGGAATTTTAAAGCGCACTCTTTAGTAAAACCTTTTTGTCGCATATTTAGTAGGTACGCTTCTATCAAGCGCAAAAGGTTTACTAAGCTCGATTTACCAAAGCGTGCGTTTTAAGAAGTCTAATGTGTATAGCTCTATATCGTAGGTATATTAAAGAAACAACTCGTTCTACTTGATTTGTCTAATAAATCTGCTACGATATACCATAGCTTGAAAAAATATTTTCTTTACAGATGGAACCCATTCACGACTCCTGTGAAAGTGCCAAATTTGCCTGATATACAGAGTCGACTCGCTTATGTCTCCTGTAATAGACAACTAGAGGTGAGTAAGAGTATTATTGCATTTCCAAACAAAGAGCACGGCATCTTTATCAAAGTGATTTTGAAAATTAGCCAATATGAATGTTGGGTACAGGTGAAATAGTTAGGTGTTGTATTGTTAACTTCATGCTTTTGCATATATTTATTTAGTGGCTCATATAAAAATTAAAAGTTTTAAATTGTAATTTTCGATTAAGATGAAAATTGGTTCTAATTATTATATTTGATCAATTTTGCATTCATAATGCTATACTGAAAAATATTCTTAATGAGAAATGCCTAAAAAATCCACTTTGGCACTCTGAGATGGGACTCGAACCACTGAGCCACACCCCTATTGCTCTTATGGTGTATTCTAGGGTTGATTTGTCACTGAGATAAATTCAATAATTAAAAAAATAAAATATATGTCCGATCAGGAAGTGAAGAAGTCTGACTACTGCGAGTACATCCGCCCGCCCATAGACGCCTACAAGACCCTTCAGTTCGGTTCGTTCGACGAGATCCGCGAGGTGGGCTACCGGCACGGCGCCGCGTACTTCGAGGGCCAGCGGCGCGGCGGCGGCGGCGGCGTCAGCGGGGCCGCCGCGGAGGGGCGCAGGCCCGACGCGCAGCCGCAACTCACCGAGTCTGTATATATGTCCTGGCTATAACGTAGATAACGGGTGTAGACAGTATACGAAAATAAAAACACATTATATATTTTTTTATAATAATAATAATGTCTTTATTTGCAATAAATAGGGTTATATATACAGCGATGATATTTAAGTTTAAGAGCTTTGACCTATTTAGCCATCTTGAACAGCATGCAAAAAAAAAATGGATGTAACTTAAAATATTTCATAATTACATAAAATTGTGTCAAATTTAACAATATTAGCATTTGACAATGTTTTGAAACAAAACTGACAAAACACAAAAATTGACAAAACATTTTAAGTACTATTTTACGATATCACTAATGCTTGGCCACATAATGAAGCAGTCATACGATCAGCCGCCCATATGGTTAAACGCAAAGACAGTAAAAAATTCATATTGTTATAATTTTTTTAAGTTACTATTTTAAGATATGATCATTAATGCTTGGCCACATCATGAAGCAGTCATACGATCAGCCGCCCATATAGTTAAACGCAAATTATTCAGTGATATAGTCAGGCCACACCATGATGTGGGCAGTAAGTTTTTTTTGTTATTAAGCAACATTTGCAATGGTCGTTTATAGGATGGGTGACCGAAAATTTACTATTTCGATCCCCTCCGTGCATCGGTAGGCACGTTAAGTTGTCGGTCTCGGTTTCATTTATGATGGGCCCTTGTTTTGAATAAAACAAAGTGTAGAATATTTGCTAATATTAAAAAAAAGCTTACTAGATATCCAAAATATTGAGTATTGACAAATTATTAAAGTCACCTATGCAAATATTCCAATTATCTTCGCCAGTGTTCGTCACATGTTAATCACCTCCTAATTCGAAGTTCAAAATCTTTTTATAAGGCCAATTAAAAGTTTTCACACGTATTATATAACGTGAATGTTCTTGTGAATTGACAAATAACGAAACGCTTTATTGACAATTCTATTTGACGGCTTCCGTGGCCGAGTGGTACGCACGCCGGTTTCACAGTGTCGCCAATTCTCAGGTCCCGGCCCGGGTTCGATTTCCGGTCAATGGACTTTTCTATAACGTCTCGAGTCTGGGTGTTGAGATACCCTCGTTATCTCAGATACTCCATAATACGGGGGTTTAGGTACTCGCCTTGGAATCCGAGCAATTGTCTAATATTTATTTATCGTTCATCCAACAGCTACACGTTCACCGACCTAGCTCAGATGGTGTGTTCAGTACGTACTGGACGCGACGTCGATAACGACTCGTCTTCGTCCTCCGATTACGAGGAAGACCAAAGACACTTCGAGGGCTACGCATCCGAGCCCAGCGCTGGTATATTAGAGGTCAGTTTAGTTAGTCAATTAGCTTGATTACTGGAGTCGGTTAATAATAGGGACGATGACTATTTTTTTTTTGTTCGTCCGTCGGTATTGAAGAATATTAAACACGTATTTTTTTTTAGTTTTTGCGTAATCAATTAACTATCTCCCTTGTATACAAGTAAAAATAAGTAGTAAACTTTACTTCAACTTTTTTTATTAGTTTTTTTAGTGCTTCCATGCAAGCTCTTAGTAAATCAGGCGTGACATGTTGCAGGACATCACGCTTTTGTACATTTCTTACAAAACTGTGACGTAATGACCCCCACTCCTCAACTTCATTGCTTATTATCTAAGCTATTTCTTGTTTAAATTGAAGCAAATAAATACGTATCTAATATTTTTCTAATTTATTTATTTAAACCCTGTCGTCTTCCCTATTACTGCCTTTAGCATGAAAATTGTCGACTGCGTTGAATTTTGTATTGTCATTTACATAGCGCCATATACCACTGTAAATAAACCGACGTATCTTAATATCTTACTAATATTATAAAGGTAAAAATTTTTACGTCTTCACGCAAAAATTACTGAACGAATTTTGATGAAATTTGGTATATGGATAATTCCTAAGCCTGGATTAACATATAGGCTTTTTATCCTACTAAACAGTACCCTAGAGACCATGCCGGCAAAGCCGCTGGCAGAAAGCTAGAATTAAAATAAATGAAGACGTGTTTAGAATAATCCCAATTAAATAGTAATAGGCTGTAATCAATTTTTTTTGTGCAAAAGACGTCGCCTATCTTCTATAGTATGACGCATTAATTACTGTGGAGCGTCTGGTAGTATCGGGAAAAGGAAGCGCGTAGTAGACCCCCATTGGGATGGGCAGACCAATTAAAGGCGACGACTAACTGTTCTGTCCGTGATTGTATCACAAAGGCTGCGGTCTGACAAGAATGGCGCCATATAACAGAACTTGCCATTCAAACAGTTCCTGATTGATGACCGACCACTGCATAAGGTGATGAATGAAAGTCTTTTTCGGTATGAACGCGCGAGATGAATAGATGGGGGGACTATAATGTGCTAATTCGATTTATACTCGATGCTTTTTCGTGCTAAGAGTAAAGACAAGTATATGTTAGCTGTTGAATAATTTTAAACTTATTTTTAACCACAGAGAATAAACATCAGTTTTTAGCCATTAAAAGTATAGTTTTGGTCAAAACTTGTTTAATTTTTTTTGTTAACATTGATTTGAAATTATAGAATAAAATACGTTTTTGAATTATTATGTTTAAATGGATTTTGAATATTGATCATATGATTTACCGTTTAATATTTTAATTCAATGGGATTTTGTTTATGTATTAAATTTTATAGGCAACTGTGTAAAAGTAATATGTAGTTTGATTAATTAAATCTGTATTATTTATTTAGTATTTGTTATATTTCTTTTCATTCTATCTTGCATCATATTCGCTCGTGATAAGGTTTATATTCCAATTAGGTTTCCCTCTAAAACAATTGGTATTGCCCTTCAGATGTCTTCCAGCGTAGAGGAGGGTGCAGCATGGATCAGTGATACGGAGCTGGTGGGCACTTATTAGCACGCGCACGCGCACAATAGATGGTTAACTGACACTTAATAGGATCTATGTCTTGGGGGATAGGGTGATATCTCATGTCGCTGTGTTTCTGAATTTGAAATATCATTATTGTTAGGTTTATACAACGTGTAACAGAAATAACGCACATCCTTATACAATTAGAAAATGTATTTATAATCATAAACGAAAGTTGGAACTTTACTTTTATGTACTAAAACATTGTTTAAGTATGGACACAGTTATACTAATGGAGGGTAACAGTGTGGACATCTTACAAATCCACATAGTGACGTCAAAATTACGTCTTAGCCTGCAACTACCAATGTATGTACCACCTACCGGCCAATAAAAATTCTCGACATGAAATATTATTCTGTTTCGAGATTCAAAGTGTTGAAGTTTAGACAATATTTAAGATTCTAACTAGTTATGGGTATCGGCTAGCATAGTTTAGCGCTCACATATCACACGGCGAGCATAGTATCACCACATTGTGCCTCACCCTTGAGGATTTCGATGTATTTACTATAAGTCAGTATAACTAAGAATAATTACATTTGTAATTGAAAATTCGATAAACTTAAATTGCGATAAAATAATCATCCACTGCCACTGTCATGTTTATTTTTGCTATATTATTTTTCACTTTATTATTTTTCACTTTATTATTTTTTTTACTATTTCGTTTATAAACTTATGCATTATAGCGTTTAAGAGCATTTTAGACTCTAGGCATATTAATAAAAGCTAATTTTTCTTTGTTTATCTCCTATGTTGTATTTTATTACAAGCTAAGAATATAGTTCATTTTAAAAAGCCTTAAGACATTCACTTAAGTTTATTTTTTGTTTGTAACGACTGGAATGCTTACAGGTGACCATAATTTACTTGATTCCAATTAATTTAAGCAAAAAAAAACCTGTATTAGAAGTTGTTAAATTCTAATCAGTGTCCTGATTTTATACAAACTATTTTCAGGATGTGCGTTAATTATGTTACACGATGTATATACTTGTATCATTATGAGATTGCTCATTTAAAGTGAAAGTACGTTTCATCCTCATCGATTGTGCCTAAGGAGGCGGAACATATGAAATTACTATTAAATCCTTATACAAACTCAATCAATCAATTGATCATATACTAAATTACATTTACTAAAAGTCTACCTTTTTATTAATACGGATGGACTTTCTTCCATCGTATATTATATGTATAAAAAAAAACAATCATAGAATTATTATAAAAAATCCAGAGGATTATTTTAAAGAAATCAATTTAAAAAAATTTAGAAACACAGTTGCTGTGTCAAGACTTTTCATCCGGAATTGTGCTGTTGTTTCGATCGAGTTTCAATAAATTTCAACGCTAACTTTAAATATTTATAGAGTGTAAATAAAGGCATTTATAATACATTTTTTGACATAATCTACGAGCTACTATGCTAATCATTCATTTTATCCCGTGTTGCTTGAGAAAACATGTAATGGGTCTAGTTAAATAAGTGTTGTAATTTTTTTGGCATTGCTACAGTGAAATTTTAAACAAGATACAAATCGCTTACATGCAAAGGATATGGCGTGTATATCACTCTTAATAATAGTACTTATACAAATAAGTTAAAATAGCTCTTCTTGTATATTAAATAAGGATTTGTTTGTTTTAATCTTACTTCTAAGTTAACTACAATCTGTAGGACACTTTCTGGATGAAATGATATTGATACTTGAGATATAAAGATTTCTAACTTCCGTCTTATATCACGCTTACGGATATGTGTAGATAACTATTTAAATTGGCACATAATTCGCTTTAACTAAAAGTTGATTTTGAACTTTATTTTACATTACATATAGGTTACTAAGGGAATATCATTTTTATGTCGCTTGCTTTGGTTGTTAAATGGGATATTGAATTTATGCTCACTAATTACTTGTTAGTCTGCGTTGATAATATTTTGTTATTGTTGAATCTTGTTTCATCCTTTTCTGTCTTATCTAAAGCTTTACTCTTAATCAGTGTTTATGTATTTAAATGAGTACGATGAGTATATTCGAAGTACCTTTATAACAACCCTTTCGAATATCTTGTTTCGATCAACAATACAACTAGATGCCCGGTCAGTTTCAAAAAGGGCCGACGAAATAAAAGGAATTTTCAGTGAAAAATGAAAGTAATCTTATAAATAAATAATACATGCTTGAAATCATGTAAATCCTTGAAAACATTTTGCACGTTGAATGTTTCCTTCGCTTTTCCTATTAATTTTAGTATTAATTTACCCACAAATGACGTCATGCACTCTGATTGGTATTTCGTTTGACGTGAGACATAGAATACAAATATTGGAAAATTATATTTTTATTGATTGATTTAAAAATAGAAATAATTATTTAGCAAATATATTCAGCGAATGATCTTTAAACTTTACGAACTCATTAACTACATACAATTTAATTTTTTACCTAATTGCTGTCCGGTCTCTTATTATCAGAGGTCGGAATTAGGTAGAGTTATTTATGTACTTGCATCGAAATGTTGATATTAATGTGGACCTTCCCGGGATTTCTAATGGACAATCCCGTGTGGCCAACAATGTTACAACTAAATAATAATAACAACGTCAGAGATAGACAAATAAAACAAAGATAATTAAAATAATTTTTTTATTAGTTTACATTAATTTACAATACAAATTATTGATAGTCTTAAGCAAATTCTCATACGCATATTTCGCCTTTTTTATAAATACGAGCGAATACTTTTGCTTCTAGCCTAGACTCATGAGGTTTTGCCTATTCAAGCGGCCCATCAGAATCATTTTCCTTGTCCGATTGATTACCAGAAAGATTTGAAGTGTTCGCTTCCGACATTACTGTATAACTTTTGTGAGAATTAAAATATATAATCATAAGCTTTTCAATATTTTTTGGCTTTTATTTGAAAAATCACGGGATTTTTTCTGCTCTTTAAAATTAATCTCGGGATTTGAGGCATATCCACTTTATTCTGTCGTTGTATGAAATCAGTGTAAGTACATGAATAACTCTGCCTAATTCCGACCACTGCTTATTATCAACGTAAATATACATATATTTAACTAACAAAAACAAAATTGACATCGTGACTTCATACTTATCCAGTTCCAGAGCTCAGTTCTCGCCTAAAGTATTATTATAAAATGTAAACTGTGGGATTATGTTCTTTGGTTGTTGCAGTGTATGGTGCCGTATTTGAGTATTGTTTTAATATGCGAGGCATTATCTAGTTGTATTGTTTATCGAAGGTATCTTGACTTAATTTTATATTTAACAAATTTTGCATTCACTATGCTCAATAGATACGTAGTTAAAGAAAAATGTTTTATAATATTTTGACACAAATTGAGAGGAGTAGTTGCTGTCTTTGATGTCACTGTCAATGGTTGGATAACGTCATAACTTTAACTGTCTAAGTTTCGCTGATAACAAATTTACTATAAGAAAGAGGATTGTGCAACGCATTCTACAGTCAATGTTAAAGTCAGCGGACAGATGTTGTCAAATCTGACATAAACCTTTAACTGCTATTATGGTGCAATCGAAACTTACACATAATTTTTACACAAATTAAATTATAGGAGGGTTTGCGGACGAGACGTGTCGGCGGCAGTCTGTCTCTATCGGAAGACGAGATAGACTCCGAGGCGGAGGTGTACGATCCGTTGAACAAACGCGGCGGCGGCAGGTGAGACGCGACCCAGCACGACCTGTGCAAGGCTTTATTCGAGTTCGCCCAGTGTGGCGACATGGACGAGAGCAGCGAATGATGTTGCGTGAGTGTGTGAAATAGGCATGATGCCTGGTTTAATAAAAGAGAAATTGTATTTAGTCCGCCAGTCAGCCAATGTAAAAGTATTAGATACGTATTTTTTTTGTTCCAATTAAACAAAAATAGCTTAGATAACAGACATCAAAGTTTAGGTGTTCGAGTTCGCTACTTAGAAACTGTACAAAAATATGGCTTTTTCGAAAATGTACAAAAGCGTGACTTCATGCAACATTTAAACTCTGTTAGCTATGTTTCTCTATAGATTTATGTGCGACGTCATATGGAATGTGAAACGGGCATTTTCATCGTAACTTCGGAACGACGTAGTGACGTAGTCTGTTTACGAATTGAATGACGTCACATGACATTGCCGTTAGATTATGTTTAATATTCATTTATTGCACCAAATATACGAATAAACTAGCCTATTCATGTTGTGAATTTTGTAGCATAGGACTGATTGAAAATATATTTCTTTGGTAACATTATGTCGATTGTGATTTATACTCTGAACTGATTTAATAGTATTTATCGAGAAAGCAGATTCTTGAATTTGATTACGTAACTTTTCAACATGAGATATATTTGGTCGCTTCTTTTTTTTAATCATCGTTTAATACACGGGATCTATTCCATACTCTTGTTATGTTCTGAAACGTACTATTAGTCGCAATAAAAATTGTAAAAAACATACAAACGATTCAACTTTAGTTTTAGGTAACTACCAATTGGTAATTGTTTTGAGCAGTTTCTATAACTGTTAAAAAAATATATTAATATATATGACGAACACCAATGAGGAAATATTTAAAAAAAACAGAAAGCACCAAAAAGTACCTTCACTAGATAGCGACTCTAGCAAAAGTTGATTTTTGCAAGAAACGAATGGACCAAAGACAGTTAATTCAGTTCCTTTTAACTGACACATTAAAAAACTGAAATTTGAAAAGTTCGAAACTTAGATATCAATACAAATACGAAAAAGTACATATAGAATTTGAGTTGTTTGTTGCATTTTGAAAACTAATTTACTTTTAAATACGAAAGAAAACCGGAAGGGTTGTCATGGAGAAATCAAGAACTAATGTTTTTTTTTAAATACTTCCCCATTATTAGAATATTAGTCTGGAGATGACATTTGATGTAACTATATATTTTGGCCTGATATAAAAAGTACAGTTCTTCAGAACTTACATAATATCTTGTCCAAAACTAATGATATCCTTTAGTTGCAGTAGTTGGGTTGATTGAACCAAAGCAAAGCTTATTATTAGCAGAAGTCCGGTTTATTTAAATCAACGATCTGTTGCTCTTCGATTCTTAGTCCGATCAACCAAATTTATGCAACTAACTATTCGATGTAATATACATACTTTGGCATATTTTGGCTTATTATCAAATGTAGATTGAGAATTATAATGCGGCATTGGAGCATGTGTTATATCATTAAAATTTAATTAATAACAAATTGATAATTTTTCACTCATTAGTATTTGCTTCGTGTTAGTGAAAAAGCAGCTCTATATCAATGCTATAAGAAGTTCGCCTTAGTATTGCGATAATTATATGATGACGAAAACGATGTTTTTGTTTGAGTTAGTTTTAGTATGTCAAAATGGAAAACGAATCTATGTTACATAATATTCTTCAGCAATATATATTTTATAAATTTTCATTCAAATGTATTTATAAGTACTAGTGTACTAGCTATTAGTCATATATATGACGATTTCAAAGACCTCCGTCTTTGCTCGCACGTTGGTTTCAAAGTCTCGTCATCTCGTTGAAATAAGGACAAACAAGCACACTCTTCGAATCATAGGTAATATTAGTATGGATACGACAATAGTGAGACGACGACCTCTCCGTGCCTGAGTGGTTCGTCCGCTTGTTTCAGTATGTCGTTATATCTGAGGTCCCGGGTTCGATTCATGGTAGAAAATGGACTTTATATTGTGGTGTTTTGATACCTTTATTGTATCAAATTTCCATAGTACAAGTGCTTTAGCTACTTAAATTCGGATCAGTGCAATCTTGTCTAATAGTAGACATATACGTAACGATATATATCTGCAATCTTTAACTTGTAAGCGTTATTCGGAAAACGTTTTCCAACACATGTTACTGCATACTTGTTCACAGGGCTGCCCGTCCATATACGCGAAATAGGCAACTGCTTAGGACGCTTATATTTGATGGTATGGAGGACAGATTATTATTATTCTAATGATTTGAACTTTAAAAATGCAGTGCCTTAAAAACCTGACTTGACTTTTGGTCTTTGAACGCGAGTCTATGACTGCCCTAGGGGAAAATGAAGAAATAGCAAAACAAAATTTTTAAATGAATGAATAAATCTGTCTCACGTCAAATGAAATACCAATCAGAGCGCGTGACGTTATTTGTGGGCAACTGATGGTAAAACTATAGACAAAGCGCGGAAAACATTCATAGTTCAAAATAATCTTAATGATATATTTGACTTTTAACAGGTTATAAGGATCAGTTTACTGTTATATTTATTTGCGAGTTTAAATTTAAGTACTGCAGATGATTTTTTTTTTTCACTAAAAGCACTTTTGTTTACCTCACAAATGACGTCACGCCCTCCAAGTCGCCGTTTACGAGGTTTTTTAATTTTTAAACATAGTTTTCGGTACATAATAAGGTTTATTTACATTGAAATAATATTTTTGGTGGCAATAAGAGCCCATAATGATTAATATAAATTAGTTTTCAGAAAGTTGTCCGATCCCAGACAAGCAGTTTCTTTTGTTATTGGCAAAATTTCGCTCTTTATTCATGCACTAACATTAGAAATTTATTTTGCTATGCTCTTTTATGGGCGTCGCTTAGCCTAGGGCGCGAAGTTTCATCGAAGGCGAAAACTTGCACATATATATCGTTACGTGTATGACTGCCATTAAAAATTTGCATTTTGCACTTATGTATGAATCGCTTCTAAAAACTATACATGTATTCCCAAAGTTAACTGTGATTTTAAAATTTTAATTAATCGAATACAATTAATGTAATCCGAAAGAAGCTTTGTTGTAAATAATTATTATATGTAATTATATTAATACAAATTTATGATTTAAAATTTGTAGATACATTTCAGTTCAGAGTTTCAATATTTTGTGATAATTTTAATTTAGTTGTTTATGTGCCATAGTTTTTATGATAAAATGTTATTACCAAAGAATCATAGTTTGATTGTTTTTTAAATAAAACCTACTACAAAAGGTAATAAAGGTGTTACAATATTGAACCTCTATACAAGACAGTGCTCTACTCAATGTTGAGTTCGAGAAGCTGTATGTATTGTTGGATAACAAAGCTAATTAGTACCTATTTAATTTTTTGTGAAGTTAAATATATTAGAGGATATGCAATTAATGTACTTAAATATGCATATTTATTTAGAGGCCGCGATCACAATGCAACTAATTTTAAAATCTATCTCATTACGAAATGTTAGTTGAATATTATTTAAATTGTGTAAATTATGTAGATAATTGCGTATAGTTAAATATTTGGTGCGTATTTGGTCCTATCGACTGAATTCATAGCTTTAAGTCCCGCCACTGAAAGGCACAAAGTTATTGTGAAATAAAAATAAAACCAAATGTAGCTCAATTAGTGTATACTATATTGTAATTCTTATTTTATTGTATTTTATGTTCTATAATTGATTATTATTAGAATAAAATTGTATAAAACTACAAAACTGGTTTTAATTTTTACATTAATATAAAAAAAATACTAAAACATTTTATAAAGAATATACAATTTGTATTCTTTTGCCTCGTGCCATCAACTGCGTAGAAAATGTTCTGTAATTCTTTGCTTGATATTATTTTTAAAATACTTTGGAAACTGACACATATATAAATTATTGGACTCAATAATGATAAAAGTTGTTATTGCAGAAAAAGACTCATAATTACGCAATTCAATCAAAATTCGTTACCTTCATAAGAGTAGATACAACAATATCTAATGTTTGTAAGATTTCCAATTGATAGCGTCTATTAACTGTTGTTTCTTCTCCGTCACTCTTCTAACATAGCTATGTACGTTCACTACCAGAGCATTATCACCGTATTCATTCTTAATAGTTTCTACGTCTTCTATACACATAGTCCTATAGTTATGTCCAGTTTCCAAGCCATAGCTGGTGGTCTCCGACGTGCCATCCCACTCTTCGTGAGTCCTGATTTTTATAGCGTTAACTTTTTTCTCCCAGTGCATCTTCATGTGATACCTTATGTCTGGACAATCGCATAAATTTATCAAAACTTGAATGCATCTTAGCTGCAGAAGCGGCTTATTGGGACTGTGACATAGATTAACGAGTCGCTTAGTGATTTCGACGCAACGTTCTTTTGCGCGCCATTTTGATTGTGTAGTCAGTGTAGTGTACGCCATCAGGCCTACAGCAGCAATGATAACCTCTATGTGACGTGACGCTATATGTTTCCTCAGAACAAACGTCAAATCGTACATGTCCGCTAATTTCATACCGACTTCATGCTTGCACAGCTGCGTCATGCAGTCCATAGCGCCACTGACGATTCTAGGGTCGTTGTTCTGGAAGAGTTTCAGCATAACTTGGAATGCGTTTGCTCTCAACGTACGATCCGGATCCCATTCGGATAAGTTCTCCAGAGTCTTCAAATGCAACAGTACGATACCGACGTGTTCGCTCTTTATCATTTTCAACAAATTCTCTACTATTTCTCTGTTAGTTATTATAGATTCACAAGCACATCTATCTCTGGCTAAAGTCCGGAGCGTGTAAGCGGCTGCATAACGTATTTCTTTTCTATCCCTCAGGAAGAGGACCATGAGATTGTCCACTATTTCTGGACGTGACATTATTCGTTGTCTCCCTTGGTAGAACGTAGCTAGGTGCGTTAGAGTAAGACAGACTTTCTCTCTGACTACAGGATCGCGGTCTAGCATTAAGTCTATAAGTCGATATACGACATTGATGTTTATTAGAAACATTGCATTCTCCGATATTCGTACCTGAGTAAGAACAGCTATAGTTAGCAAAATCCTTAAAAGGCGTCACGATAAAAAGTTGACAATTTGTAAAACCTGACGTGCTGTTGACTGTACCTATACAGCAGCACAAAAGGTTACCACTTGATGTCAAGTTCGGAAATCTACTTTCAACGCTTAAGGCCACAATTGGTGACGATAGTTTATTAGAACATGGTGTGCAGTTAGCTATTCACAGGAATAGTAATGCGAAGGTCTCACCATCATAAATCGAGGTCAGAAACTCTAAACAAATATGTTTACATTTTTCAGATAAGCTAAATTTCGAAAATTTTGAAATTTTTCGTTTTGTACAAACATCGGGAGTCGAAACTTCGGGTAGTTACAGTAATGGATCGAATAAGAAATGTAGCAAATCAGAACCTGGTCTAAGACGCTATGTAAAGCCTGCACTTGCTTCAAATGGTCGATTGAATGGAGTTCCCTCTTTGGCATATTTTGGCTTATTATCAAATGTAGATTGAGAATTATAATGCGGCATTGGAGCATGTGTCATATCATTAAAATTTAATTAATAAAAAATTTATAATTTTTCACTCATTAGTATTTGCTTCGTGTTAGTGAAAAAGCAGCTCTATATCAATGCTATAAGAAGTTCGCCTTAGTATTGCGATAATTATATGATGACGAAAACGATGTTTTTGTTTGAGTTAGTTTTAGTATGTCAAAATGGAAAACGAATCTATGTTACATAATATTCTTCAGCAATATATATTTTATAAATTTTCATTCAAATGTATTTATAAGTACTAGTGTACTAGCTATTAGTCATATATATGACGATTTCAAAGACCTCCGTCTTTGCTCGCACGTTGGTTTCAAAGTCTCGTCATCTCGTTGAAATAAGGACAAACAAGCACACTCTTCGAATCATAGGTAATATTAGTATGGATACGACAATAGTGAGACGACGACCTCTCCGTGCCTGAGTGGTTCGTCCGCTTGTTTCAGTATGTCGTTATATCTGAGGTCCCGGGTTCGATTCATGGTAGAAAATGGACTTTATATTGTGGTGTTTTGATACCTTTATTGTATCAAATTTCCATAGTACAAGTGCTTTAGCTACTTAAATTCGGATCAGTGCAATCTTGTCTAATAGTAGACATATACGTAACGATATATATCTGCAATCTTTAACTTGTAAGCGTTATTCGGAAAACGTTTTCCAACACATGTTACTGCATACTTGTTCACAGGGCTGCCCGTCCATATACGCGAAATAGGCAACTGCTTAGGACGCTTATATTTGATGGTATGGAGGACAGATTATTATTATTCTAATGATTTGAACTTTAAAAATGCAGTGCCTTAAAAACCTGACTTGACTTTTGGTCTTTGAACGCGAGTCTATGACTGCCCTAGGGGAAAATGAAGAAATAGCAAAACAAAATTTTTAAATGAATGAATAAATCTGTCTCACGTCAAATGAAATACCAATCAGAGCGCGTGACGTTATTTGTGGGCAACTGATGGTAAAACTATAGACAAAGCGCGGAAAACATTCATAGTTCAAAATAATCTTAATGATATATTTGACTTTTAACAGGTTATAAGGATCAGTTTACTGTTATATTTATTTGCGAGTTTAAATTTAAGTACTGCAGATGATTTTTTTTTTTCACTAAAAGCACTTTTGTTTACCTCACAAATGACGTCACGCCCTCCAAGTCGCCGTTTACGAGGTTTTTTAATTTTTAAACATAGTTTTCGGTACATAATAAGGTTTATTTACATTGAAATAATATTTTTGGTGGCAATAAGAGCCCATAATGATTAATATAAATTAGTTTTCAGAAAGTTGTCCGATCCCAGACAAGCAGTTTCTTTTGTTATTGGCAAAATTTCGCTCTTTATTCATGCACTAACATTAGAAATTTATTTTGCTATGCTCTTTTATGGGCGTCGCTTAGCCTAGGGCGCGAAGTTTCATCGAAGGCGAAAACTTGCACATATATATCGTTACGTGTATGACTGCCATTAAAAATTTGCATTTTGCACTTATGTATGAATCGCTTCTAAAAACTATACATGTATTCCCAAAGTTAACTGTGATTTTAAAATTTTAATTAATCGAATACAATTAATGTAATCCGAAAGAAGCTTTGTTGTAAATAATTATTATATGTAATTATATTAATACAAATTTATGATTTAAAATTTGTAGATACATTTCAGTTCAGAGTTTCAATATTTTGTGATAATTTTAATTTAGTTGTTTATGTGCCATAGTTTTTATGATAAAATGTTATTACCAAAGAATCATAGTTTGATTGTTTTTTAAATAAAACCTACTACAAAAGGTAATAAAGGTGTTACAATATTGAACCTCTATACAAGACAGTGCTCTACTCAATGTTGAGTTCGAGAAGCTGTATGTATTGTTGGATAACAAAGCTAATTAGTACCTATTTAATTTTTTGTGAAGTTAAATATATTAGAGGATATGCAATTAATGTACTTAAATATGCATATTTATTTAGAGGCCGCGATCACAATGCAACTAATTTTAAAATCTATCTCATTACGAAATGTTAGTTGAATATTATTTAAATTGTGTAAATTATGTAGATAATTGCGTATAGTTAAATATTTGGTGCGTATTTGGTCCTATCGACTGAATTCATAGCTTTAAGTCCCGCCACTGAAAGGCACAAAGTTATTGTGAAATAAAAATAAAACCAAATGTAGCTCAATTAGTGTATACTATATTGTAATTCTTATTTTATTGTATTTTATGTTCTATAATTGATTATTATTAGAATAAAATTGTATAAAACTACAAAACTGGTTTTAATTTTTACATTAATATAAAAAAAATACTAAAACATTTTATAAAGAATATACAATTTGTATTCTTTTGCCTCGTGCCATCAACTGCGTAGAAAATGTTCTGTAATTCTTTGCTTGATATTATTTTTAAAATACTTTGGAAACTGACACATATATAAATTATTGGACTCAATAATGATAAAAGTTGTTATTGCAGAAAAAGACTCATAATTACGCAATTCAATCAAAATTCGTTACCTTCATAAGAGTAGATACAACAATATCTAATGTTTGTAAGATTTCCAATTGATAGCGTCTATTAACTGTTGTTTCTTCTCCGTCACTCTTCTAACATAGCTATGTACGTTCACTACCAGAGCATTATCACCGTATTCATTCTTAATAGTTTCTACGTCTTCTATACACATAGTCCTATAGTTATGTCCAGTTTCCAAGCCATAGCTGGTGGTCTCCGACGTGCCATCCCACTCTTCGTGAGTCCTGATTTTTATAGCGTTAACTTTTTTCTCCCAGTGCATCTTCATGTGATACCTTATGTCTGGACAATCGCATAAATTTATCAAAACTTGAATGCATCTTAGCTGCAGAAGCGGCTTATTGGGACTGTGACATAGATTAACGAGTCGCTTAGTGATTTCGACGCAACGTTCTTTTGCGCGCCATTTTGATTGTGTAGTCAGTGTAGTGTACGCCATCAGGCCTACAGCAGCAATGATAACCTCTATGTGACGTGACGCTATATGTTTCCTCAGAACAAACGTCAAATCGTACATGTCCGCTAATTTCATACCGACTTCATGCTTGCACAGCTGCGTCATGCAGTCCATAGCGCCACTGACGATTCTAGGGTCGTTGTTCTGGAAGAGTTTCAGCATAACTTGGAATGCGTTTGCTCTCAACGTACGATCCGGATCCCATTCGGATAAGTTCTCCAGAGTCTTCAAATGCAACAGTACGATACCGACGTGTTCGCTCTTTATCATTTTCAACAAATTCTCTACTATTTCTCTGTTAGTTATTATAGATTCACAAGCACATCTATCTCTGGCTAAAGTCCGGAGCGTGTAAGCGGCTGCATAACGTATTTCTTTTCTATCCCTCAGGAAGAGGACCATGAGATTGTCCACTATTTCTGGACGTGACATTATTCGTTGTCTCCCTTGGTAGAACGTAGCTAGGTGCGTTAGAGTAAGACAGACTTTCTCTCTGACTACAGGATCGCGGTCTAGCATTAAGTCTATAAGTCGATATACGACATTGATGTTTATTAGAAACATTGCATTCTCCGATATTCGTACCTGAGTAAGAACAGCTATAGTTAGCAAAATCCTTAAAAGGCGTCACGATAAAAAGTTGACAATTTGTAAAACCTGACGTGCTGTTGACTGTACCTATACAGCAGCACAAAAGGTTACCACTTGATGTCAAGTTCGGAAATCTACTTTCAACGCTTAAGGCCACAATTGGTGACGATAGTTTATTAGAACATGGTGTGCAGTTAGCTATTCACAGGAATAGTAATGCGAAGGTCTCACCATCATAAATCGAGGTCAGAAACTCTAAACAAATATGTTTACATTTTTCAGATAAGCTAAATTTCGAAAATTTTGAAATTTTTCGTTTTGTACAAACATCGGGAGTCGAAACTTCGGGTAGTTACAGTAATGGATCGAATAAGAAATGTAGCAAATCAGAACCTGGTCTAAGACGCTATGTAAAGCCTGCACTTGCTTCAAATGGTCGATTGAATGGAGTTCCCTGTTAATTATACGCAGTCCTAACCGACCGAGGCCGAGCCTGGCCCTGCTTATGTCGACATGTGGCGCGTACAGAGAGGGCTGCATGGACTCCAGTCTTTGTGCTGGTGGCGGCTCTGAAACAGATTTATCTTCTATCTTTCTGTTGCATAAAACATGGTTTGCTAAAGCGAGAAAGGAAGCGGAACGAAGTGATAAAAATATTTCAATTTGAACTACATAAAAATGCTTTGGTGTTGCAGACCGCAGAATTTTTTGGGGGACCCTTGGTTTGCATGAGATTAACGGCCGGTTTCTGAATTGAATTATAACAACATATATAAATAAATAAAAGTATATAAAAATAAAAGTATAAAAATAAAAATAAAAGTATAAAAATAAAAATAAAAGTATAACAACATATATAAATAAATAAAAGTAGGTGCCTATACCTAATAGATATTTTAGGTACTAATGCACAATTATTTTTACATGTATTGTATTCTTTTGGTAATTTATTACACATTTAATAGTATGCATTGGTACTAATGTATATCACACGATTTATTGTATATACATGTTCCTTAACTAAAATATCTATTAAGTATAGGCACCTACTTTTATTTACTTAAATAAGTTGTTATAATTCTCATGATAATGTTTTTTTTTATTTGTATTTATGTTTTCCAATATTTTGATTGGTGAGACTTAACTTCTTCTTTTTCTTTACTTTAATGGCTACTTTGCGTCACCACAATACTGCCAACTTTAGGTAGTAGACGATTACACGATTTATATCATCATCATCATCATCATCATATCAACTGAGACGCCCAATGCTTGGTATAGGTCTCCCCCAATGATATCCAACGTGATCGGTCACACGATTTATATATATTAATTTAACTAAAGAATTTTGAATTACCAATTCTTTCTACATGGATTTACCAAGAACAACACGTTAAATGTTTTTTATGCATTGTTTATGGAATTATTTTATATAAACACAAAAGATGAGACTTACCAGACCATTATTAAATAAACGAATTGTGTTAAGTTACAGAAGCGAAAGGTAGAGGTCCTTACCTGTGTGAGGGTCGAAATGGTTTCTTTCCATGGCCGCATCAACGGCTTTGTTTATGACGCGAGGGTTCATTGAGCAAACCAACTGCAGGTAGGAGTTTTTGTGTGGACAGAACATGATTGTTAATTTTTCCAATTAAAAGTATATCAGAAAACTTAGGTAGAACCAAAAGGAAAAAGGACTCGATTGACAACAGTTTGACAAATAAAAATAAACACAGTACATTATGACAGATTTGAGGTTTTTATTTACAAAACGTATCGATGATTGACGGTATTTTGAAAATGGCCACTATAGATAAAATTCTTTTTGGATAGTCAAATCAAAAACTTTGTTTCAAATTCTTGAAAGAACGCAATTTTGTCATTCATATTCTGTCAACTACGACGTAGGGAGTTTATTGCGAGTAAAACCAAAATTTCAGTGATCAGCAGATGGAAGCTAAAAAGTAAGTTTTAATGGGCCTCAACGGCGGCATGGAGGCCGGCGAAGAGGAGAAGAAAAAGAAGATCGACCAGGATGTAATGTTATTCCTGCGAAAGCGGAGTGACTCTGAAGTTCCTCGGTATGCCACACGGTTGAAGACTTACATTAACTTGCAGCAGAAAAGGCAAAAGGCGGCGGCAGCGCGTCGTCATTCAGAGCAGATTTTGAAGAACGAGAGATCCGGGGTGAGGAAGAAAAATGGAGAGAACAAAACCTTGGAGACTACAGACAATCGGGGAATACCAGAAGAGGAGCGTGGAGTGAAACGTCGCGGTGATAAGCCATCTGGCAGTCGAATAGGCTCCCGTTCGCCGTCTGGTGAGCCGGCAGATCGGTGCGGTCGTCGCCGGCGCCGTCGCAGCCGTTGCGGCAAAAAACGCCGTCGGCGTCGTAGTTGCAGCCGCAGACGCCGGCGCAGGCGCAGCTGTCGACGAAGGAGACGCCGGAGTTGTAGCCGCCGACGAAGACGAAGGAGTTGCCGTCGCCGCAGGAAACGCTGTCGCGGCGGTCGTTGAAGCTGCCTGTTCATGCGCCCATCTGCTGTATCCACCACTTAAGTGTCCGTTTGTAACAGCTGCTTTCATATTGTTTGTGCAACCATTTCGATAAATTGTTTTAGACGTGTTGATGATGCCTTTGAGTTTGTAAAATTTTATTGCTTTGCTAAATATTTTTAAATTATACATTTAATTTTATGAATTGTTTTCTTTTATATCATATCAGGAAACAAAGCTGAGGTAGAGAGATGCCTACATGAATAAAATATGTTATTACGTTTTTTCCTCTCTACGATCTTCTACGAACAGTTTGTTCAGTAGTAGAAAAGTTATATAATAGAATAACCAGTTTTTAATATACTCATTAGGCGAAGTTATCTTTTCAAAGTACCTCCGTCAGTTCTTACATGAAGACTTGTAGTTCATTTGCATGGAGACTGCTAGGGGCGCTGTACTGGATGCCAAACTAAAATATTACACGCGCTCAAGATCGAAGGTGAACGCAAACGTCAAAAATCTTATACCAAGCTCTCAGGAAACATGAAAATAAACATGACTGTTGGTCATGTGTCGAAAACTGTCTTCAAGTAATTTGCCGATTATAAAAAAATATATATGTTTTGTTAATTGATAAAATGAAAAAGATTGTCGTTATAAAAATAACTCGTTAAAAAAGGCATATTGCATACTTTAAATGGTATTAATGTTACTTAAATATAGATATCGCAAACTGACTAACGCGCTAACCACTACGTTATCGAGCTTCTCAAGCTCAAGCTTGAAAGCTATCCTTTGTGTATTGCAGCCTGGGTAATAACGGTGCTAAAAGGTAAGTGAAAGTATATTCAGAGATAATTAAGGAATAATTTAACATAATATAATTAGATATCGTAAAACTGTACGTTTTGTTTTCACAGTTTATTTGTCCATCTGGACATCTGGAATAGATTGCCGTATAGTTATAATTTCCGCCAATTATAAAATATAAGTTTAAATTTAATAAGCCTACTGTTTTCCCGCGAAAAATTATAACCTATGTTGACCCCGTACGGTGTAACTACCAGTAGGTGAAAGAATTTTTAAAAATGGTCCATTAGTTTTGGTGCCTAGGCTCTTCCGTAGGTAAGTTAATCTTTTTGCTGTTTATTATTACTCAAATAAAGTAGGTAAAGATAATAAATCTATGAGGTAAAGCTTTTCGATTAAGAAATGTGACACAATAGAAAGAACTAAAAGTTACTTTTTGTAGTTTTACAACAGTAGAGGGATCCGCAAAAATTCGAATTCACTCTGGTGACACAACTCATTTCGTTCGGCGTTCGATAGTGTAGCGCTTTACGAAATTTCAGCTTTACGATGTTCGAAATGTGTTTACAGAATCGCACGGCTAGTAGCCGAATACGGAGTATAAGTCGAGTATCCGTTGCAAGGTTTGATTATGATTTTGCGAGTAAAATTTCTACCTAAACTTTTTCTACCATAGATCAGTCGACATCTATGTTCCAAGGTCGTCATTGTAATTATTAGGTAGGTAATAGGTGGGTTAATTCAGTTTTACGTGGTAGAATGGTAGGTATGACCTGATTTTATAATGGTATTCTATTTGGTAATGACATGATTTATGTAAATGTTATTTATTACTTATGATAAAGAATTGGTAAGTTTCTTTCGCTTGTTCTTCTTGTCAGCTAAAAGACGTCCTGAAGTAGTGGTTGGGGAAAATTTTTTTTTTGGAAGATATAAAAGTGCTTGAAGCAAGCTTAATTGAATAAAGTAATTTTCATTTCATTTCATATGTGCCAAATACGAATCTCAAATTCAGAGTGAAATAATAATGCAACAGTAAAAGTATTATTTTAATAAAAATCATTAGTTTTTTTACATTTTAAGATAGAAGATCCTACTTTCTGTCTGGTAGACTGGTAGAGAATGCCCTTAGCATTAAGATCGCCGATTGCTATGCGATGCAATAAAGATTAAATAAACAAAAAATAAATAAATAAAAGATTAAAAAATTGTTTTATTTCCATCGTTATTCTGTTATTTTTTTTTATTATTTCATTATTCTAATCACTGCGATAGCTTTATTTTCTAGGGTAAGCACGGAAACCTTTCCTTCGGCACTTAGTGTCAACTATCAGCTGCGCTTGTCTTTTCAAGTAGCAACGAGATGGTATATCTTCTTCTTCATCTGACGCTGAAACCAATCAATTATTAGCTTTCAGTTAAGATCGGTCACCAAAAATTATTATCTCGAGCTGCTTTATGCTTCGGAAGGCACGTTAAGTAGTTGGTCGCGACTGCATTTGCAGTCGTTAATACCCTCCATTCCGCATTGGGCCAGCGTGGATGGTAATGGCCCATCCTCTTTAACCATGTTAGGAAGAGGCCATTGTGCCCTTATGATCTTCAAAGAGTTGATGGGCTTTTAGTACATATTTATAGTTATAACTAGGATTAAAACTTATGATTATTTCATCTGTTATTTAATTTGATTCAAATGGATTCCATAAATTTGTTAAAATGTTACAATACCGTTTGTTTACCGTAGAATTCAATAAGAAATATCCGCGGAATGATACATATACAAGAAATGAGAATTTCCTTTTTGAAAGTGTTTTACGCTACATAAAAAAATTAGAATTTTCGTTGAGTAACGGCATTCAACTACACGTCAAAAGGGCTACTAAATTTTTTAGCCGCGACGTTGAACGTTTTGAATATTATAATAAAAATGGTACGAAATTAGTTGGCTGCAACATATTACGACAGACTCGTGTGCACTCATGGCTCAGTTACATTGGTCGACTCTCAACTGGGTCAGCAAGTGGAGCTCGGGAGATCTCTGTCACAGAATACGTACTTCTGTGGGCTCATCTGGGCTCATCTTATTGGTCAATAAAACAATGGCTGACCAATGAAAGCGAGGCGCAATCGCCTGCAAAACGTGGACATCATTCACCAGGGTAACTGAGATATTATTAATAATAAGTGTTCATTCTGTGTGGTATGGAAATTTAATATCACATATTATTTGTGCGCTTATTTTTTATTTGAACTAAGACGTATCAATTATGTGTATTCAGGTGTGGCGCGGGCTTTATATCATAACATCGACCACAAACCACATCCTCTTTTCATAAAAAAATGGATTATCGATAATTATTATAAACTGTTTTGTTAAAATTGCAATCATATTTTATAGACAATAGGTTTTATTCTTGTTTGGATAATCTTAAATATACTCTTCGGTTGGTAATACTATTAAATAAAAATCATTCAATTATGTAAAAAAAAATCATGATTACTTTTTGAAATTGGTTTATTTAAATACTGAGACAGCGCTAACCGTTCGAAGCTGATTTTGTGCGAATAGATCAACAATTAACTTACGTGGTGCCTTAACTGGTTCTTTCTGTAGAAGTTCTTTGTAAGTTGGAATTGCTTTCTCTACCTCTTTGGGGGTGTTTTGACTACCGCTCATCCCAGCCACGGAAGAAGGACGACTCGTGGGCTGGAAAAGCAATAGAAAAGTATTTTAAAGTAAATTAAAGGAAATCTTACTATAAAAGTAAGTGTTTCTTTATTTAAAGTTCTCTGAAATTTTTTATTTCTCTCTAATAAATTAAAATGGTTTGTGGTTTAACTGATAACCAGCAGCGATGAGTTTACTAGTGAACAGTATTTGAATATAAGGACGTTGGTGTTTATAATCAATCGCGTGTTGTTAGGAGGTCATGTCAGTAGTCATAAAAACTGGCGAGAATGTATGAAAAAAAGAGTTATGAAAGTAGATGGGGTAAAAGATGTATATAAGTACTGTGCTTTGCCTTTGATGATCTCTGCCTACCCCGCAAAGGATATGGCGTAAAGGTATATGTCAAATTTATTTATCTATATATGACTTCATGTTGGATGCTTTGCGGGATGAGCAGAAGACCAAGTCCCAAATAATTTTATTTATTTTTAATCTATTCATACATGAACGCAAAATCAACGAAAACAAATAAACCTATAGTTCCATACATTACATTTGTTTTATAATTCGTCTGTTTAAAATATATATTATCAATGTATAAAAAGTGTTAAAAACATTGATAAAAATAAATAAATAGGTATCCAAATTTTTTTTCTCATGCTAATACTATGTAATTACTTAAGTATATTAAAAAAATACAGTCTGTACACACGTTCTTCGCTTGCAGGAAATTATCGCAAAATCAAAATCATTTTTCCAGTCGTAACTGTAACAAGCACTTGCAAAAGTCAAATTTCTATCTCATCGGTTCGTTAAGTTACGACGGGAGACCTTGTACCGAGAATAATCAGCACGAAACTCAGCAAGGTCAGCTTTTTTCTCAGTATTTTATTCAGTATAGAGATATCTAATTGCCAATTGACTCCATTAGTCAAAGAAGGCATTTTCCACAAGAAAGATTAGATTTTCGCCACTAAAAATACGATTTTGGTAATAATAGACGAAAAATATTGACATCATTTTTTGTAGATTGCTTTACGGAAATCACTATCTGTCAGTGAGCTCTCAGTGTCGCTTTGACATTGACGTTAGATGAGATTCGCGCCAACACACCGCCGGGTAGTGGATTGTTGTGGAACTATTTGAATGTGTACATTATAATATAAAATAAATCAACTGAAAGTATTTATCAGTATTTACATTGGACGGGATAGCGATCATCGTGATTTCGCCATGCTTTTCGCGCACCTCCGCGGCGCGTGCGCACGCCTTCTGGTAGCGTATAATCAGCACCTGTACCAGTTCTTGCACGTCACGGGCCTCGGCTGTCCACTCTGGTATGGCTGGTTCTGGTATTACCTACACAGTGAACATGAACATTACTCATTATCTTTTACTGCGTACTGCCAAGGAGTGGAACTCCCTGCCGGCGTCTATATTGCAAGAGTAAATAAGTTCCTTCTGGGCAAGCATGAATGCCCTTCGGGTGGATTGAGGTCAAGAGTGAGCCCATTATGAGTAAAAAATGTAGGTGTTAAAGATCTACATGGCATGGCGTGCACACGCCTTCTGGTAGCGGAAAATTCAGCTCTTGCACCAGTTTCTCGGCTGTCCATCCACTCTAGTATGGCCATTCTATGGCTATATACCTGGGGGCCAATTTTGCTAAATAAATTTTGTTTAAATCGAACGAAACTACAGTTTTTAATGGTTTTTCTATTCTAATAAGTGACATACGATACGATTCCAGCTAAAATCGAACTGGAATTGTATCGTATGGCACTTTGTAGAATAGGAATAGAAATTTACAACCGGTCAATATTTTTCTAAACATATCTATAATGTATCGGGTTCAAGTTATTAAAACACTCTCAACAATGAAACAATGTAATTTCGTAATATTTACTTCCATCACCAGCCTATACATGTCCCCACCACGTGGGATTGCGGATTGGTGAGTATTAATTACTGCAGATGCAGCCGGGACCAATGGCTTAACGTGCCTTCCGGAGCACAGAGGAGTTCGAGATAATAATTTTTTTGGTCACCGGCCTTTGCATAAGTTGCTTAACAATAGTATTGCAGACCTAGCGTGCTAATCATTGTTCCATCGAGCCCCTATTATATCAAATAATATATAAGTAATTACTTACATCCAATATTTTACAAAGATCATATAAAAGTCTCTTTATCTCGCACAGTATCGTGTCTAGTTTCTCAAGTTTTTCTTCCAGCTCTCTATGTATCTCCTGTTCTTTACTTATTTCTTCTTTCAGCTCGTTGATTAACTCTTGACCTCTAAAACAGCCAGAGGTATTGACAGAAAAAGTATATATATTTACTTTTTATTTATTTTATATTAACACTAGGTTGTTTTCTCGTTTTTGCAACATTTTCCTCTCTTATTAGTCTTAGATAGATGTAATATAGCTTATGGCATTCCTCGATAAATGGACTATTCAACAAAAATGTATTTTAAATTCGAACTGAGTTATCGAGACTAGCGCATTGAAACAAAGAAACTCTTCACCTTTTTATTATTAGTATAGATTGGGCCTTACATCAAAAACAAACACGTTATCGGCAATTTCTATGACAAGTTTTACGTCTTGGTTAAGAAATAATTAAAGCTAAGGTTAATTTTTCTTAGTTCTGATGCTATGTCGTATTGTCTATTATCTGAGATGTCTGAAGTAATTGGACAATGTGATAATATATATTCATTGCAAAGAAAATCAATCTTGTGATTTCATGACGTCCCTGATGTTCCGTGGAGAGGAAAAACACGTGAAGAATATTTGTTTTACATTCACAGTTGATTCACTCACTCATCTTTGTCTTTGACTGATGCAAATTTGAATGCTTCCAATTCAGCCATCAGAGAGGTTTGAGTGGACTCCAGGTCGAGTTTCTCCTCCTCAGTGGTCTTCTGTAAGTAGCCGAGCCTCTTGCTGGTTTCTCTTTGAGCTCGAAATCTGTCAAACACTTCCTCGGTGTCGGTTACACCTGATGGAAAAAATAATCTCAATATTGCATTAAACTTGGTGCATTCCACTTGAGGTTTTTATGAACGTTGTGTAGAAGCATTACTTTAATAATTAAGTTAAATAAATGAGTAACGGTAGATTTTTTATAAATGTAGTTTTAAAAGTGATAATTTAATTCAAAATGAAAAGCACTTAACCGTAACAACTGTCTTTTGATGATAGACGCAGCTACATTAGAAAATACGTATAAAATTGCCTTCAAAACTCACTGTCTTATATAAGATTTTGATTTTTATTTTGAGCCTATATATAAACGTTTAATGAAATCATTATTGTCACCTTACCTGTAAGCTTCATTAGCCTCTGGAAAATCTCTTCCATTTGTGCTGCAGCCGATGTCTCCTCAGTGACTGCTTCTCCTTCAGTAGACCTTGTTGATTCTTGACGTACTATTACACGTGCTGGAATGGTAAAAATGTGATTACTACAAAACCTTTTGTTTCAAAATAGTAGGACGTAAGTGATAAAGGTTTTATTTTATTATAAAACGGTATTTATTGTTTTACACTGTGTATGTTTTATTTGATTCTGTGACAGTTGTTACTTATCGGATGGATTCTTTTCTTAGACTTAACTGCTTTAGACTTAACTGCAGATGCAGTTACCGTGCCTTCCGAAATACGGAGGAGTTCGAGAAAATATTCTTTTCAACATTCATCCTACGGACGGAATTTGAGGAAGTTGGTTAACCGCATCAACTGAATCAAACTCCTCAGTGGTAAATGTATACACCTTGCGGTGGGAATATTCTTTTCTCCAGTTTCTCCAATTCTCTTTTGCGTTCTGCGAAACGTTGCGCGAAATATGCGCGTTCTGAAACTCGCGCGTGTTCTGCGTCGTGCGCACGCGCCACCTCCGCCGCCGTAGCAGATGTAGCGCGCACTCGCATTTCAGCTGCTTCTTCACGAACTTGCTGAATATAAAATAAACAATCAAAATTGGTGAACGTTGTAATAATTGTTCATTGTAACGGAATAAAAACTACTTCTAGAAATAAAACAAAAAAAAATGTTTACCATACTAAAAGAATAAAATTTAAGAAAGCTATTAATAGCATTCTTAGCTTTCAAGAGAAGAACCGGCAAGAAACTCGGCAAGGGCAGCTCTTCTCGTAAGTAAGACATGGTTTCTAAAACTTATGGCTCGAAGTAACCTTGTCAAAATCTTCATATTATAGCTAAAAGCAAATTGGCTTTCACGAAGTACTTACTAACCATCCAGCCGCTATTATATAAATATTTACAATAACCCTTTTATCAGCAAATAGCGAAACTATTAGTTTACAAACCAGGTTCAAAACCCAGGAATATAATATAATATTTAAAAAAAACATTTTTTATTCAAATTCCAAGCTGTGTTACTATGTATTTAATTATAATATGTGGACTAAAGTAAATATTTGGCGTAAATCATTGGCCACCTAAAGCAAAGTGACAATGACAGAAGAGATCACTATTTTCTTAGCACTCTTTTTAGTTGAGAACCCAGTACTAGTTTTATGGAATTTGTTTATTTAATTTACCTCTAGTTTGGCAATTTCCTCCTTCTGTTTATTTAACAGTTCTTCAACCCGAGATAATGAGCTTTCAAATTTCACAGAGTCATCGATCAGTGCTTGCCTGGAAAGAGAATAAAGTAATACTTAGGTCCTAAAATTATTGGGGACGTCGATGGCGCAATGGTCAGTTTGTACGAATCGACACCAAAAATAGCTTCAAGAATTGTGAGTTAAGTTAGGTTAGAACTGCGACATAAACAGAAAATATGTATCCAGTAAATATAAGTTTGTTTAAATCTAGATGACGGAGTCAAATTATTATAAGTTAGAAGTAATATGGACTGGTGACCACATCTATTAAATACATTTTAAAAGAAATAAAAAACTTTTTTTTTATTGATTCGAATTCAATTTTGTTTTTTCTAATAATAGAACTGAATTCGCACTTATTCAAAAAACTGCCATAGAAGTAGGGCGGTTTTCTGTATGTTATTTTTGATTAAGTGATAGATTACTATATATTATAAAGAAGAAAGATTTGATTTTTTGTTTGTTTGCAATGGATTGGTTCCGAAACTATTTTACCTATTATAAAATTCTTTCATCCACGGGAAGCTACATAATATGCTATAATTTACGCAAGCCACGTCGCGGGGAAATAGCTAGTTTAATAGAAATTGGTTCACAATTCATGAAGAAAACGATGATCTACAAAGCAATTGAACATATAAAATCCTCCTTTCGGATTTTGAAAGAATGCAAAATACGCAATATTTTGTTTTTTCACTGATATCAAAACATGTAATCTAAATATTTAGGTGATATCCGGTGGAAAGCACAATTTGTCAAGGAAAACTACTGACTCGATTTAGATAACATTTAAATCGGCCCAGCACGGGCCATTAAGCTGTCGAATAAAAAAAGAATTTTGGAAATCGGTCAACAAAAGGCGGATAAATCGATTAACATACATAAAATAAATATATAATATAACCTCCTCGTTTTCGATTTTGAAGTTTGTTATAAAATCCTCATAAAAAGAAACAACTGAAGAGAGAAATAGAAATACCACAATATGTTTATCTGAAACAAAATATGGATACACCAACAATTTTTTTAGTATCGTTGTCAGATATTTATAAAAAAACATCTATGGTATGGTGAGACAAATATAGATAATGAATTATGACACATTTTTATGTAGTGCTGTTTTAATCTCGTAATTTACGTCAAATTAAATCTAAATCGCGGTATTTTATTTGTCATGGAAATTTATCTGGATTTCAGTTTATAATTTTAAATTTTTGCTTTACTAGATGGCGTTAAATATATAAATCGGGCTATCATTTGTGTCAAAGAATTTTGCGACTTGACTTAAGTTTTAGATTACGATTAAAGTAACACAGTTTGTATTTTTCTTTTCATTAGTATTTCAATTTGTTACTAAATTCATACCAATATTATAAATGCGAAGATGTAACTGTCTGTGTGTGTAGGTGTAACGTTTTTATATCTAAACTATTGAACCAATTTTAATGAAATTTGGGACGCAGATAGAGTGTGAAAGGATATAAAATAGTTTTAGGGCGATAATAACCAAACTCTGTGTAGGCTTAGCAACGGGCGGAAAGCGCTAGTGTCTATATAAGTCCAAAGACTTCCTTGATTTTTCAGGATCCCATTTTCAGAACCTGACTTGATGACAACGGTACCACTTGGAAAGTACACGCTTTCAAACAAAAGAAGAATGTTTCGAATTACATACGGTGAAAATACATGAAAAGTTTACCCCCCATGTGTTTCAGGGTGCAGATAATAAAAGATACATTAAAAAATCCGACTAAGTGAGAATCTTCTCCTCTTTTCGATCTATTAATTATGTAAGAATCTTTTAATTATTCTATTAATTATGTAAGAAGTTTTTTTTTAGAATAACAGTTTATCAGCATACCTTATCGTTAAATATTTTTTCTTCACTAACTCTGCTTCAGTCCATTGTATGAGCACTTTGTGGATTTCATTTTCAAGATGTGATGCGTGCTGAAAATCATATGACATAAGATATTGATAGTGTTACAGGATGGATTAAGTTTAAACAAAGTGTTTAAACAAATATTAATTCAATTAAATCATAAATGCAACGCAGAGCATTAGTTCGTATAGTCTGTTTCTAGGGCAGTCGACGAAACGGACAATACCACAAAGTATGAGCATTGAAAATAAACCACACGTATCGCTACTCATAGAACCCTGTATCATTTCTGCGAAGTACTGGGTTTCGTTGTAGGGGATGCTATGGGTGTCCGATCCCACCCCGTTCAGTGATAGGTAGTAGTCCGCGCAAACGATATACATTTCTTTGGATAACGATACGTATTGTTGACTTTCAATGTTCACATAACACTGTGCGTTTTCGCTGGCCCTTAAAATAGAGCCTATATAAATAATTTAAAAAATATACCTTTCTCGCTCTAGTTGATATTTTAGATTTGACCAGTTCACTTCTAGTGCTTTCTATGAGTAGATGTTCATATTCCTTCTCTAAATCAGTGAGTCTCTTTTTCTTGCTTTTCTTTTCGTACTTCAGTAGATCAAGCATTTTTCTTTGGTCTATCACTTTCAGATCAAGATTATTTATAATCTGGAAAAATATAATAGTATTTTCTTTATATAAAAATAACTATTTTTCTAAATCTATTTTTTTGATATTTTGAACCGTGTAATGTTTATTTTAAAAAAAATTTTTAGGAACAGTTACTAAATATTATTTGCCATGAATAGTCTTCTACCATTATCATTTAATATATTTACGTGGAAAAACAATTAATATACTTTTCATACAAAACACTTTAAACGTAATTATAACAAAAGTGACTTTCACATAAAATATATATTACTATATTTGATAAATTTGGCTGATGCTATATTGATATTTATTTGATAATTTTTCGAATTTAAATTTAAATAAAAGAAAATAATATTTCGTTATTATTATTTATTTCGTTAGAAAAAATTCGATTCTTTCTTGTGATAAAAATGGTGATGGATGAGCGATTTAATAGACATACAGGAACCAACAACTATTATCCCTTAAAATTTTGCAGATTACCACGAATTTTCTTAATTATTGGGATGGAGCTTTTGGATTGCTTTGATTCCACTTGAGAGGTAAAACTATCAATTGAAAATAAGATCGGTAATAGACAGATTGAAAAAAAATAAGCAACTTTTGTTTTATAAACTAAAATTACCTTTTGATTTTTTTGCGAGTGAGAGAGTATTTTTTTGTAAAAAAGCCTTGCTGTTTAGTAAAATTATATGGAAAAAGGATATAGACTTTATTATTAATTGCTGTTGCCTCCTCTGGATCCATTTTCCTCCCATATTTTTACCTTCAACTCTTAAGATTGCAAGGATATAGTATTACTCTACTTATTTAATGTAAAAAATATAATATGTTAATGAATATAGTAAAGCAATATAAATGATTTTACTAGAATTCATTATTTATAATCGGTATATTAGGATTTTACAAATATATGGTACTCCACTACACCAATAAAAAATTAAATGTATTTAAAAAAAAATGTCGCGTAGATCTAAAAAATATTGAAAAAGTTGCTGATTGTCGTGTCTACTTCTATAACATTCGTCTTTTATTTCATTACTTGGTCTTGTGTCTTATTGCCCAATGGGCATACATCGTTTAGATATTTCTTTATCTGCGCCTCCTCGTCGCTGATCACCTCTCGTGCCTGCGTCAGTTCAGACAGGCGCAGTTTGATCTCCTTCCTCAATGTCTCGATGAGGTCATTATTTTGTTTTTTCTCTGCTTCGTTCAATTCATAGCTAGATTTTCTTTGACCCTCTGTGAAAATTGATATTTTTAATCAAATATGTTTGAAATTGTCTAAGTTTTTAAAAGGATTTCATAAATGGTGATATATTATTTTGATCTGCATGCATTAATATATGTTTTTCCACAGACATTTTTGAATTTCAGTGAAATATAGTATCCTGCATTGCATATTTCTTTTTAATAGTATTATTACTATTATATATATTTAAAATTTCATATGATTGATTGCTTGAAAAAAGGTTAACGATATTTTTTGTTGACATTATCACTTTTTAATTTCTCTACTATATGTTTGTTTAGGCCATAATTTTTTTTATTTAATTTTAATTACATAATTTGCGATTAAAAACATTAACTCAAAACAGCTAATGAAAATATTCTAGAATTCTCCATCCAATATAACTATGTCGTATGTAAAAACATCTAAATATTGAAAGGTAATTTTATTTAAATCGGTAACTGAATTAAAACAGGAGTTTTAATGTAAATAAAAACCAAGGAGCGTTTACAATTGCACACCTGATAGTTGTATTTTCTTTTTGATCTCAAATATTTTTGTGTTTATGGTTGTGAGACGATCCTCGTTCTCTATCTCGAATGGATGTTTTTGGTAACAAGTAGTCATTGTTTATAAATTTTAAGATTCACTACGAAAATAATTTAGTTCACCACCACTGAGGTTGCGCTTGGTTACGACTACATCGATCAAACAATTTTATACGTTGAGTTTTGTAATGAGAAATTTGCATTTAAAATTTTATATCAATAAAAACATGGCATATGTTACATTGCTTATTGTATTTTCTTTTTACATACATGGATATTTAAACAACAAAAAAGCTGTATATTTTTCATATTTTATATCAAGGAGTTTCGAAATAGGGGAGTATACTTATATACGCTTTGAATTAAAAATCTGTTTTTTTTCCCAATTTTATATGTATACTAGTTTTCCTTCAGTGACTTATTTCACAAATAAACCCTCTTCTTGAACCATTCTGTATATTAATGGTAACCGCATTAAAATCCCTAGTGTTTAAAAGATATCAGCGTGCAGACAGCGGCAAGCGATTTTGTTTTATACTATGTACAGATTCCACGATCAGTAGTCATTTTTAAAGATATTTTCTTTGTTTGAAGCGGTGTTGCGAGGATCAAAGTCGAGGTTTGATTTATAATCGATGAGAAGAAGGTTCTTTATAAACCTGAAAAATCAGTTAGCATCTAAACTTCGCATGTCAATAAAAATCACTCCTTTTTTCAAAAAAGTTTTCACACGCATTATCCATTAATGAAACGGTTTCATCGCGTTTATATTTAGTTTTATTGACGTTTAAGAAGTGGTTCCGTGTACATATAAGACTAAGGCGTTGCTTGTCTTTCTAATTAAGAGTATAGTAACCTTCAAAACAATACTATTGGATACATTCACAACACAAAAAATGGCAACTTTTTTACATTTATTATATATATTTTGAAATACATTTGGCTCTTTCATTTGCTTCTTAATGTATATGTGATAAGAAAAGGTAACGTTTGTAATTTGAATTTATGATACTTACATCCTTTCAGATTTAACTAAACGAGAGGTTCATATCTGGGTAGAAAAATCTTTAGTAATGAAAAAGTATTAAAAATTGTTGTTTACCTACCTGTAATATAAACTTAAATCATCAATGCTTTCAATAATCTTATTTGGATACGAAATGTTCTTATTTCATAAATTTTTAGGAAAGTTTTTCAGTAATATTATTTATCCTAGTTAGAAAATAAACATGTAATTTGTAAATAATTTGCAATTTTCAACATTTTTCATTGATTTCAAAGGATTAATATATATTATAACTCCGTCTCAAAATAAAAGTTCAGTTATAAAATGTACAAATATAGTTTGGAAGAAAACCATTTATTATATTTCAAAACCTTATGTATTTTTTATTAAAAGTTTCTTTGGGTTTATGTTTTTGTGTTGTGTGTGCATTTATTAAGTGAAAATTAAAACAAACGTTTCTGTCAAGGCATGATGGTTATCATACAGTAATATGAAAGATTGTTTGATAATTCAGGCTGAGCATTTGCCAATTTAATAACAGCATGTTTTGTAGTTTTGTTATTATCATACAAGTTGAATTTCATTTAGGTTTCATTTAAAAATATGTTTTTTAGAGAAAATTCCTATTGTTACTTTGTTATAGGTACTTTTTTGTTTAAAGTAAAAAAATATTAATCGTGTGTTTTTTTACGGAAAAAAGCGAAGCCAATAATTTTATTACGAAGCCATTGTGAAAGCAATTATTTTGTTATTCGGATGTTGTTTTATGAAAAATTATATGTAATTATTTCTAAATACTGTCTTGTGTGTGGGTAACTGTCTAATTCACCCCTCTTCAAATGAAAGTTTTCATAGGCGCCATCTGTATGATGGTTGTAGAACTACAAAGCTCAAAGCTCTCGATTGGTTGCTGCGCGCGGGGAAGTGTTGAATTGCTTGATTTCTCCATTGAATCAACATTCCTGCGCGTACGCTTACTTGTGTGCGTGTTTCATTTCTCACGGTTTTGTAGGTAAAATTTGGTATAATCATGACTTAAATACTTATTGATAAGATAAAAATAATCTTTCGATATACCCCAAGTGTAGTGAAAAGCTTTAGATCAAAGCTTAAGTCCTGTTACAAGGGGAGCGCACGCACACATTCGCACCGGCAGCCATTTTGATTTACTGTACGCTGTGTATTTACGAACAAAGCCGTCAGATGCGAGCGAGACGCGGCTGCGCATGTTTCTACCGGGCTTTACGTTTTTTTCAAACGTTTCTTACCGCTAAAATGACAAAATCCGCATTATTTTCGACGTAACAAGAGTTCAAAAACAAAATGAAGTGTCAGTTTTTACATTTAGTTCCGTGAGTGTTGATTATTGTGTGATTAAACGACACAGCAGAAGTATAACAAATGTGTGTGATCCATGTGTGAATGTTAGTGCTACATAATGTGGTCGAGAAACTTTATACCGGATTATGGGATTAGACTGCTGTCTGCTGCTGTTTTGCTGTGGACCATAGCAGTTAGGATCGACGGTGTCGAAGGTAAGGATACGTTTTAGTTGTGAAGTGGAGCTTATGAAAGCGCGGCGCGCGACTACCCGTCCGCGGGAAAAAGTCATCATAGCCGCCGGGGCGTTACGAGGTCGACGCCAATCGTACGTTGGTCGGCTTACCTGTGTTTCTCACACTCGCGAGACTTGTGAAACGAGACTTTAAAAACTGGAGTTAAGTCAACGCATCGCATTTTTTAATGTTTTTTAATTGTGGCGTGTTGTTGACGTTGAACCCTGTTCGCGAGAAAGACCGTTGTACATTTAATATGTTATGACATCGGCTCACCTTTCGCTCATGTAGTTTAATAGAACGGTCGCTGGTGTTATTATGCTGGCGATTGTGGAGTTTCAAGTAATAAAATTCACTCGTGGGCATTCATTTCTATGAACCAGTTTTTTAGAATCGTTACATGCTTATTACTGTTTGAAATCTATTAATGTGTTTGTTACATTCAAATTGATTTCGTTCGGAAATACTCGATTCGATTTTTTTACATATTTTTACTCAATTTCGCAACACGAAAAGACATTAAAATATGTAATATTGTTGTTGTTGTTGTGTTTATTTATATAATATTGCTCTTTAGATTAGTCATAACCTGGCCAATTTAAAAAGGCAAATCATCGTAATAATTGACGATTCATCGCTGTTATATTGGGAATGTTACAATTTTTCAAGCGTAACTTTGGCGCGAAGTTTGTTATCATAAGCTCAACTTTTAACTAAGGACAAATGCATGGTATTTAATAACAACGCTCATCTTTGTTGCCTGTATGTTTTTTGAACGCGAAAACTTTAGAAAATCCGGAAGATCGTTTATGGAGACACCATCAATAAATTGAGTAATTCTAAAAGTTTTTGTGTATAATTCATTAAGCTTTATTAGTTAATTTGTTGCATATGACGATAATGTTTGAAGATTCAATCTCCTTCAATTTATCTCAATAGTTAAAATCAAATGAGTTTTGGCGTGTATGGTAATCCTAAAGACTCCTGCCGTGAATAATGCTATTTCGTAAAATATTTTAAACTTATTACTGCACCTAAAACATTAGTATGAAAGCTTTAGCCAATATTACTACATCTTTATATTAACATAACTGAGTAGATAATAAACGTTAATATGCTAAAATGTTAGAAAAATTAAATGCAGATAAATTCTTTTCACATGAAATTGGATAGGAAAGATAAGAAAAAGACATTACAAGTGACCAACAAAGATAATTTCTCTAATTGTAAAGTTCTCAGAGTTTCGTTTATTTTATAAACTAGTGTAACGTCCTGGTTTCGCATTGCACATTTAAATTGAATTAAGCTCCTAGCTGGTGCCATTTTTTGACGCATCAACAACATTAAAATAACTTTGATTAATGGTAGGTACTTCAAAACCTTTCCAATGAATACTCCTTCTATTCTATTGGTAAAGATTCCATGAAATTTTATACCAATGCTTAAGATTTTTAAACAAACACTAAAGTAAACAAACAAACAGCTTTTTCCGCCTCAACTTGAGTATTCTTTTTCAATCGCTAGCTAAAGAAGTTGTGTCTTTAAAAATACCTAGGTTATATGTTTCTCGGATGTCATTTGTACAAACATCCATTATAATTGTCATTAGTTTAAAGCGACATTATCGATACATATTTGACATTCATTAAAGCTTAACGGCATCATTAAACCCCAATGGACGTTTGTGCAACAGATCGTATGTCACCCAAAATGTTATAATCCTCTCCTAGATATTTAGGAAAAGCTTATAATATTCCAACCGTAGTTCGCACGATGTGTTCTTATAGACTCATCTAGCTGCATATAAATCGTATAAGATAGTGTTTAGTATTCTAAACGCCAAGACACGATTTCTGTAGTCGCGACCACGGACTGTCTTTTTGAATATTGATCATGTAATACAACATTATTTTATTCAGTTTTACTTAAAGGACACAAGTAAATCTACATTTTGAGGGAAAGTTTGTTGTTTTATAGTTTTATATTCGTGGTACGTATATAAATAACATGTAGGTGCTTTCAAATGGTGGATATTGAGTTGCGTTTTAGGAGTTTTAATAAGGATGTTTGCTTCGAAAAGTGCGTTACTTAAACTGGCCTACATCAAGCTGTAGGGGTCGATGACTGACTAAAAAATTTTCCATATAAACGATAAAAAAGAATTGTGGATTTGCTATTGCAAATAAGGATTCAGGATGTTAGTTCTCGTTTAATTAGGTGGTATTATGATATGTCTATATTAAAAACCATACACATTACGATTTGTTCCATAGTTTTCACTTAAAAACTAATACACTGACGAAGATAGTGTTATTATATTGTAGAAAAAATAAAGTCGTAATACTATTAAGTGAATATAGTACCTATATTTCATAAAATTGTGAAAGTTGATCAATTTGCAAAAGCTTCAATTCAAACTAACACTTCAAACAAAAAGTTTGTGGATCTCTGTTTAAAATAGAAATAAATCATTTTGTGATTCATATTTTCTATGAAGGTAGAATGATAAAAGGTTGTTTGTTAATGCCTTCTTTTTGTTGCAAAATTTTACTAAAAAGGTAAAAGTATTTCTCTTTTTTGTGGCTATATTCCAAGTAGATACATAGTTTATGTTAACTTAAACTTTGGGTTTTGAGCTCCGACAAAGTAAAACATTATAATTGTCAAAATGAGTTATCAAATAGGTACTATCATAAAAAATATTATTGTGATTTGAACTGATATAAAAGACTTTACGAGTAAAATACTATACCTATGTCCTATGGCTTTGTTCCGACCGCTCAAATATTGTTTGGTATTTTATGTTGTTTCCGTTCGCTACATTCTCCAAGAATGGTGAGGCGTTGTTCATATGTGCTAAAGATAAACTGTATTATCTTAGTTCTATGAATGTTTACTTGGGATATGTCTGTGTGTTTTTTTCCAACTAACATTTAGAGTTTTTTTTTTACGTAGACCTACTTTTGTTTTTTCCCGATCATGATTCTATAGAAAAGATATAAGCAGCGTAGTCTATTTTAATATAATTGTGATTGGAAGTGATCTTTCATACTTTTATATCTGTTACGACCTGTGAGTGGCTGTCGGATTTGGCTAAGATTTGTAGTTTACTAAATACGTACCAAAAATAATTACTTTAAATATTATTTATGGCTCTTCCTAACTGTACTGTATACTGTAACCTAACGATTTGTGTGTAAAATCATATCAGTATTTGTTGCTCAAACAACTCTGCTCCAATTTTATAAACAATGGCAATTAATGTTCAATTGTCCAAGGCAATTGGCGAGTGGGGTCACTGTCCACTAGTTGTCCCAGTATAAATCTCAACTAAACCTAACTATAAGCAATTTCACACTTGATTCCTTTAAATAAGACGTGTACTGTTTCATTTCAAATATCTTCTTTAAGCATGATCCTTATGTCTAAAGTGGGACGTGATATATTTGCATGCGCTCGACACATTCCATATTTTGTTTCGACTCAATCGGGTGTCGTTGACAAGAAATTGTTCTGGGAATCGCGATCGCCACGTCTCGGAAGCATTGCATATTTCATCATTCCTGTTCCATACGTGTTATTATCGTTTTCATTTTGATTAGTACAATACTGTGGAATGTTATTTGATATAGTCGGTGGTTCTATCGGAGTTCGGTGGTGCAGTGGATAGTCAGCTTGCGATTTCAAAAGTTAAGCAACTTTTGCAAAGGTCTGTCATGGGATGGGTGACCGGAAAGTTTTTAGCGTTTCTGTGCTTCGGAAGAGACGTTAAGGTTTCTCTCTTATCTATATTCACAGTTTTAGAAAACTTAACTTGAGTAAAGGCTATTATAAAGTTGATGATTATTTTAAGGACAGCAATGCATGGAATTAATAGCCTTCGCTCTGTTCTATAACGATTAATTATAGGTATGTACCAACCTATGTCCTACAGACTTTGAAACTTGTATTTATTATTGTTCAATATATTATTTTGGTAATGACATGATTTATGTAAATGTCATTACTTATGATAAAAAGCTGGTAAGTTTCTTTCGCTTGTTCTTCTTGTCAGCTAAAAGATGTCCTGAACAAGTGGTAGGGGAAAAAATATTTTTGGACGATTCACAAGTGCTTGTAACAAGCTTACTTGAATAAAAACATTTTCATTTCATTTCACTTATCTATCTGATTCTATAGATACTACGAATATATGATTAAGAACCCAACCATTAAGTTCTCTTTACCTTTCTTGTGTAAGCTTTGTTTTAAGATAAAACTTTTCTCAATATCTATGGGATAGTTGAATGATTATTTATAAAAAAAAACCTCATTAAACGTCATAACTATAGAGTAAACACCGTTATTATACTCAGTCTTCGACGAGACCGACGCTAATAAAGCTCGAACTATGACTAATCATACGCTTACCACTACTTGTATCAACCGCTAGAAACGCGTATAATTCTTAAAAAGGTTATATTGAAACTGGACCGGTCAAACTGTTTCATGGACGCGAACACCGAAAAAGGACAAATATCTTTTAACAGTCACCAGCAAAATATTTATTGCGTGTGGTCTCAATACTTCATTTTAAATGGCATTAATAGATATTTCAATCAGTAAATTAGTTTACAAAGGTGGAACGACATCGTGGTGTTAATTTTGACTATCAATATATAGCATTGTAAAAGACCAAACTCTTTTATGTTGATATATTTTCCGCTTTGAGTGCAATGTTCTTTTTTTTCATTATTCATTTGGTTTATTATTTAGAGATTATCCCAACCTTTAAACCTTTGGCTTTTAGTTTTGAAAGTTTTGACAATACATCGACAAAAAAAAACAATCAGCTAAATCGGCCAGTTTGTCGTTGTCGTTGTGGAATTTTAGCTTGAGACAAACTAACAGCAATGGATTTCTGTATATCAAGATATTGTAAGCTTCATATGAGCTTTTTTTCAAAATGATGATGGTTTTGGTCTTTTTTTAGATTAAGA